TCTCTTTTAGTTTTTTAAAAAATCGACTGTATAAATTAAAATGGCCCACCCTGTATATATGATGTAGGAAATATATATTTTTTATGATTTTGATTTATATTCGTTGAATATCCGCAATCTCATAATTATTTCACCAGGTGATCGCCGCAGAAGGTGAACAGAAGGCCAGCAGAGCTCTGCGCGAAGCGTCGGAAGTCATCGGTGATTCACCGGCTGCTTTGCAACTCCGTTATTTGCAGGTAATATATATATATATATATAATTATTAAATAAAGAGAAATGCCATCTTCAGCCAGACTGGAGACCTCCATAGATTAATAATAATTATTAAGCTACAAAGATCCAGTCCAATTGAAGACGGCACTTATCTCTAGTAGATTCACATATTGGCCGAATGTTTCGCTTATTATTAAATAATTATTATTAGTCAATTTTGTGGATATGTACGGGATTATCCTTGTTAATTATTATTGTTATTGATTAAACGTGAATAATTATCGTTATCATCATTACCTCTTCATACTGTTTCACATTTCCATGCTCTGTTTTTAATTTTAGACACTGAACACGATATCGGCGGAGAAGAACTCTACCATTGTGTTTCCGCTACCAATCGATATGATAACATATTTTATGAAAGCTTTGCCGAAGGAATAATTGCGTAAGAGAGAGCGAGAGAGAGAGAGAGAGAGAAAAGAAAGAAGAAAGAAGAAAGAGAGCCTGCATTTCGCAGAGTATGACGATTGAAAAGAAGAATAATAATTCCTCCGAGTTTCCTTGAGGGATCTTTCGTTTAGCGATTTATCCGTATATTTGACAATGCGTGTATATTACATCTTGACGATAGAGAGTTGCCAATATTCGACCAATCTCTGACAATTTCAAATTTAACAGGCTGTAACAGAGTGATTACTTGTAACGTTGCACGTGTGATTTTCGTCGCACAGGATCAACCCGGAGTATTCTACACGGCATAGACTGAAACACATATTTTTGGAAAATCTTACAGCGTTATTTTATGCATTTACATGCTATAAGGAGTAGCGTAGCAAAATTTATAGCATGTAGATAGAGTGTAATCGAACGACATCAATATTTGCATATATTCGGTCCATTTTTGGCACGGCAATAATTTCACTTGCGTCAAGTATAACATTTGCAATTAATAAATTCAAATGGTGAAAAATATGCAATGCTCGAAAATCAATTAATCCGTTCGTCACAAATCTCGCACTGCCACTGATGCCGGACTTGTATAAAATATGATATCGAATTACGACATTGATATCGATTTTACGACATTGATCAAGTCGATCGAACCATATAAACGAAATTTATTCAGTACAATAATTATTCAAAATAAATGTCAAGGAGCGATTCTTTCTTGTCAATTTTGTGATATGCGTGATATTGAATTACTACCACTTAATAATCAACAGTGAAAGCAATTTAAATAGCAATTTCTTGCCTATTTCTTGCCTATTTATAATACCTTACGGTACCAAATTATGTTTTTCATGTACGATATTTATTTCACAATATATATTCCTCGATAATTTTATACTTTGATCATGTGGTGCTATTTAAAGCTTATCGCCAATACTGGTAATATTGCCAAGGGCGCTTAAGTGTTAAGAATAATTACTTTTACAGTCACTAGAAATATTTGTACATTAGAGGCCTGTAACGATTGCTTGGTCCAACATCGGCAACTCTTGCTAGCGATATTTATACGTTGTTTACTCAATCACGCTTTGATATTCTTACAGTTATCTGGTAAAAAAAAGCAAAAAAATTATCGGGTATATACACATAGAGATGATCTCGGAGAAAACGTTCAGTATTATTTATTCAATAAAATGCAAAATTGAATTGGATAAGTAGCTATTCCCTAAGAAGCACGTAGAATAATTAAATAATAATCAAATCATCGAAGGATACGTATGCATTTAATAACATTTTCGCTTTTGTTAATCAATTTTGTCGGACGTCTACCCCATGTATGATTTTTGTTTTCTGTGCTGTAAATATTTTCGATGCTCTATTGTTATCGTAAGGGAGATCAAGATTTCACGTCTTAGCATTAGTTGTTTAAAGGCGGATGCGAATCGCGTAATGCATTAAATTATATCGAATAAAACGATGGAAGAACTAGTGTATCGTTTTTAAAAGACTCGTAAAGAAAATTCATTATAACTGTGATGGTTGTTAGATTGTAGAATAAGATCAGTTCGCTTGACATAACATTCTTAAAGCGAGCCGATCATCGTTTCACTTCCGCGTACATTTAAAGGCGAGGGACGGTATCTAATTCGCGTTAGAATAGAGAATGTTTCGCTTTGTAAAGCGCGATAATGAGAAATGATCGTAGTACCGCTATACGGTTTAAGCGATAAAACTGTGGATTTAACGTTGTTTCTCCGACGTCTGATATATTCTAACTGTGCAGTGTCTCACGAAATTGACCAAGCATTTCAAGAAAATTTGAAGAAGAGGTTTAGAAACCTGTTATTTCCTGTACAGCACAAAACATGCAGTAACATTGCAACAACATTGCTACAATATTGCAACATTGCTGTAGTGTAGCTGCATTGTAACTGCAAGGTTTGTGCTGTATGGGTTTAGAGGAACATATTTCATATGTACCTTTTCAAATGAGCTGCAGAAGCTTGTTTTTATATACTCTCCTTTCCTTCGTGATGGGACCAACATATATCGAATCATTTTGATCATATAATGAAAACTTTCGATATTATACAATTATAATTTAAAACCAGAGACTTTTTGAAAGAATCTTGAGAGTCTTGGATGTTCTTGAAGTCTTGAAAGTTTTGAAGATTTCGACGTATTTGTCATTCCTTTCATAACGCTTTACATTACACAGTCTACTTTATTTTATATGCGTTGCGGATATTTTTACGAATTTTTTAAAATATTTTAGATACTTGAACTTTTGAAAACAAGTAGATCTTTTAGATTCAAGACTTTCTAGAATTTGTAACGTCAAATGATATCCAAAGACAATCGGAATCTTTCATAATCGAATTGTTCGAAAACTTTTAGAAAAAGAGAATAATATTCAGTAATTTATAATATTCAGACGCCCATCACTACTTCGCTCTTCTCTCTCTATATATATATAAATATATATATAAATAAATAATAAACTTTTTAAAATATTTGATCACTTTTACGGATAATTATATATAAAATAGTATTGTGTCTCGGTGCATATCTCTTGCATATATGTATATATAAATATACACACATACGTACGTGCGTGTGCACGTGTATGTGGGCGTTTTATCTACAAGCATTACTGGAATTTTGTGCTTTCTAAAAATAAGACGGAGAGAGCGGTCTCCAATTTTATTAAATGTATAAATGCATGCACACATCTATAGCGTTGATTTAAGTTACATTACATCCTCCCTCCCCTCTGTTTAATCAGTCTACCAATCTGCAGACGTTAATGATGCAAAGTTTGTGAATATTATCGTAACATTCTACCGCTATTATTCTGTATAACTGATCGATTGATTACGGTAGCACGGTAATTTTTACGACGACGATGTTTACCGTCCCGTTTTTATAGTTCATAATATTTTATCGATACTATTGTACTTCGTCATCGATTTCATTTAAGTACACGATACCTAAAAACTTGGAAAGATGCGTCTCTCCTCTCGCAGCTTCGTCCCTTGATGTACGGGAATCCGCGTGATGTGCGAATGTAAAAGGAAACCTGTTCGCGCACGCACGTTTGAAGAGACACGCATACTCCTCGATTTATACGCGACGGCACATTTATGTATAAAGCTAAGTTACTAGTTGCTTTTTAAGCGTACCCTTTGTACGTTGACATGATTACGATAAAAAATATATATATGTGTTGAAAGTTCTGAAATAAAAATTGGAATTCCGTGATCCTTATACGCTTCAGTCCTTCAATTGTGCTTAAGCGGAATGGCGTCTATTTTAATTTCGTCGTGCACGGTAGTTGCACGTAATTAAGGCAGAAGCCTCTATTTCCAACGTCGCCAGGTGCCTCGGTGCCGTCCGTGTGAAAAACCAATCTGAATGGCTTTACAGTGCCTGGAAAGATAATTGAAGATGGATGCATATATATGCTTCTCCTCCCAAGAAGTCAGATTGACGAAAGAACTGGTGGAATCTCTGACCGGGATTGCAGCGTCACGATAAAGATACTCACTGATAACTGTCGATCCGTTCAAGTTCTGCGTTTCCGAGTTAAAGGTACCGCCGCACAATCGATCGACGCACGTCATCGGCGTCAAGGGTAGCCGACCCAGATTCGTGGCGCATGGTATTGACAGCCAATCGGTCATACAGGATGTCCCTGTCATCGACACGATCTGCGTGGCCTGCGTATTTCCTGTCAGCGTGAACGCGTTGCTACGCATTATTTGACCCGCCGCACCCAACGGGGTGGGCATCATCATCGCTTGAGCTGCAAACGAATGGCACGTAGATATCGTCAGCGCTAAAGCGATGCAAATGAAGTGAAGCTACTTTATTGTAAATTGAAACGGGGAAACTTATAGTCAACCCAGCTGGCTAGTTACTTCATTAGTTTACTACAACGTTTCGACCCTACTTTTTTGGGTCTTGCGGTCATGTGGATGTTACATGTTTCTTTATACCATCGTCAGGACAAGCCATGTACTGGATTCCGCAAAAGTTCCTCTCCATCCTGATGCATATACTGTAATCTTGATTCGACAATTGCAGCCCGGTCGTAGGATCGTAATTGTAGGACTTTATCTGGCCAGAGACTCCGGTGAAATACTGAAGGCAGCCCTCCTCAGCACGGTATATCGTGCTACATCGTATCTGCGAGACACGAACCTTCCACGATCGCGAAAAAGAGTTGCCACTCGTAACGAAGGTCAGAGTAACCGGGTTGGTTTGGCCGACTCCCGTGTCTATGTACACTGTAAATGATATTCAGCACGCATAGAGAATTGCATCGCATAAGAAAACAGAGCGAACAACGTTCTTTTCTATTTTTTAAAATCACTTACTGTGATTTCCGTCATTGTTACCGCATATCGTCGGCACCGGATTGCCACCGGAAACGATGAATTGGTCGTAAGTGCAGACGTTATTCGTCGTTTCCGGGCCTCTGATGTTGAACTGTACGAAGTCCAATCTACAACCAAGGAAAACGAAGAAAAGACTGAGCATTCGAGTTCAGAAAATTTCTTAAATAAAATTACTTAAACTTTTAAAAAGTTCATATTCTCATTGAGGCTTTTCTTCTTAGAACTACGGTCGCTGATGATGGCTCAACGCCGAGTTAAAAACGTCCGATTTATAATTATGTATCTCATCAGTAATTAAAGCTCGTTAGCTTACGCATTGTTAATCGCGTTATACTCTCAAAGCCCATTTTTCACTTGTTAGTCTCATTATCGAGAGTTCTTAATTGTTTATACGCTAATTTGAACTCTTTAATATTCTTAACGATAGAGGAAAGTCCCCTATAATAGACTTCCAGTATGAAATAGTAGGCTTTCAACATTCAAATTCGATGACAATTCTTGTTTCGCAACGTTTACACAATTCAACAGTAAATTTTCCACTAAACTCATTTCACTCCGAGGGATTCACGGTAGAATCAACGGAGACCCATTAATTTAGCAGAGAACCTGCTCTCTCGTATTAGGAGCTTGTCTAATAATAGGGGACTTTCCTCTATATACATGTATATATGTATATGTACCGATACTGGCACACATCCGGATCCGATTTCACCAATGTCACTTGACACGAGTCCATGCCGTCGTAGGTGGAGGGAAAATTCGGGTTGACGAAGTGCGTGTTGTTGTCAGCGATCATCCCGCCGCAGGACACCGTGACTACCGAGGGAACGGGGCAAAGATATATAGATTGAGTAATTTCATCGTTTCAAATGTTCAATCGAACGTTCGCTTACCTATGCAACAGACCCCGTAACCATTCGCGCAAACGCCGCTGGAGACGCCCCCGCGTTGCGCGCATTCCGCCGCGGCGAGGCACGTGCCGTTCTCCCCGTTCAACCCGCCGCAGATGCTGTTGTCGAACCTCACCAGCGTGAACAGCGAGAAGACTATGTAGACATGTGCGAAATAACTGCAGGTTTTCACGCTTCGCACGTTGCCGAACGCGCAGCTCAACGAAAAAAGGAACAATCTCCTGTTCGGATTAAGAAAAAGAGCGATTGCCCCTCGCAAACCTTCTACGCCGAATGCGACTTCCCCCGAAATGGCTTTACAATTTTAGTTTGTTTATATATCGCTACGATGCTGCGATATACGCAACGTGTTAAAACAATTTTCTTTAAAATTAGATGTGATGATTGTTAGAGCTTGCAGCCCTTGACAAAATTTTTAGACGAAGATTATAATAGACGTTAGAAGAAAGGTAATAAAGTTGTTATTAAGTTGGATCCATTGTGTCAGAAAAATTGTAAATGAAGGGTTATTTAGGAAGTTTCAAAATTTTACACTTACAAAAATTTATAATATAGGCATTTCTCAAGTTACCGTGGATATTATTGTGATAACGAAATTGGTAAATGCAATATGACGGATTCAGTGGATTCGTGATCCCTAATGATCCTTAATACAACTTTCCTTTAATCTAATAGATCCGGATTTTGATAATAAAAATCTCAATATTAACAAAATATCACATTTCTGAAAAATTTGGCACGAGACAAAATTCCACTGAGATAAATCTGAGATCCCCTTTTTTCTTGAGCTGTGGCATTTATTCTACGGTCCCACTCACGTCGTTTCTGCCTAGCGATTTGAGTGCGATTATTGTTCGGAACTTTTGATAATTCCCATTTACGTTGTCCTGCGGCGGAAGAGGCAGGTCCGTTATTATTCACCTGCCACAATCGTCTTCTGTCCGCAATTCTGTGCCTCCCGCGATCATTCCAGGCGTCGACGTAAGCGCGAAACACGATACAGCACATCAGAAGCGCGAGCAGCGACCGATCTTTGACCATTCTGGGATTTCCAAAGCTTTTTTATACGTCAAAAAAGATGTTGCTAGGAAATTTCATATATCGCCACCGCATAAAGTGGCGCCGATTCTTTATCAAACTTTTATTATATAAATTTCTTCAAAAAGCCGAGATGAAGGTTCACGATGAGTCTCAGAAAACGGATCGCACGTTTCACTTGAAGGGACGCCGACTAACTTCCACGGATCCAAGGTGTCAAGTTAAATATACCCAGAAATACTGTACTTTACACGGTCTACATATCATGCAGTAAACCCCGTAAATACTTTAAGTTGTCCACCTACACACGGGAGCTACAGAGAAAGTTGAGAAATTTAATTGCCGCCCCGAGTAACGTATTGTATTTGTCCCCTGAGTCGCGATAAATACTTGACTTTCTCGCCGCTTAAATCGATTATAATTGCTGTCGTTAGATAAGAGCAATTGCTTGGAAAGTTCGCTCGCATAAGTACGTTATTTCGTCATCGCATATTTCGATCGCAAGACGAAGAATAACAGGATGAAAAAGTCAGGAACCGGAGATTTTTGTGCCAAGAAAGCCGCTACGGCTCTCCAATTTGCTCCGCGCGTGACGTTCGTTTATTACGGCGTGCAAGTTCCGAGATACGTGCGACAGTTAGGACAATAGTGGTCCGTATTATTGTAGGAATTCATGTAGTACGGTATTATGCAGCATGGCCAGCACCTGCGACAAAAGGACATAGAAATTTTAGCAGGATGCCTTCCGATTCTCTAACGACGGGTCGAGTTCTGAACTTGATCGGCAATTAACTTGTCAATTAAGCAACAGGGGTATCATTTCATTAACATAGATATTACTTTTTTCATCATTTGGAAGAAAGAAGTGAGATACAGACGAGTAATGAAATTTGGCTAGACATCTTGCTTTGAACGAGTCAATTGAATTAATCGCCGATTAAGCTGGACAGAATTCGGCCACCCTTACATAAAATACTTTTGTTATTGGAATGTTCTACCTATATGATAGATACCCATTATAATACGCGTTAATTTCTCTGGTTATTGCACAAATAACACAGACCAACGGAAGCAAAATCGAAGAAAGCATAATATTGTTCTTTCTTTCAATGTTCAAGCCTAAGTGATCTATTGTGTCGTAATTCTGAGATTAGAATTATAAAGGAGAGCAGAGTTCAGCATAATTTACCATGCTATGTTGAAAAAATGTCACCTCACTTCATTAAAAGTTAAATAGAATATTAGATTTCTGTCAGCTTTAAATTGAATTTGTAGCTGTCTATTAATGACGCCAACTGCATCAAATTATTCTTATAATGTTTGCCAGCAGAAACTACTTGTTAATTACTTCAAACACAAGACATCTTTGAACGTTAATTAATTAGCGATGTTGGAGGCTAAGAGTTAGACAAGTGGCAAAAGAAAGTGTTAGACGATTAAATTGCTGCTAAAGGATTGTGTAATGTGGAAAGTGCAAGCCTAGCTCGTTATAAAGTGGAATTTCACTTGTCGCTTTCGCACGCCAAACGCACCCCAGCAGAAAGAGCGTCAGTGCGGTGAGGTGAGTAATCGTGGATCGACGCACCACCACGACGGTGACGATGAGCGTCGAGCACCGGGGACAAATCGCGGCCGCGGGCACTCGCGGCCAGTCACGTGTCGTGTCCGCTGAAAAAGATCAGATTGCAATCACACATCCAATTAGGCCGTTTCAGGACATTAAATACGTATTTGGAGTAGTTTTTGAGTTAGCTGGCGCGCAAGTTAATCGTTGATTACCGAGTAAATTTTCCCCCGAGAAAATATTTCAAGTGTGGGAGAAAAGGAGATATCGTTTTACATCTTGTCAGACTACTTTGCAACTTTAAGAGCCATTTAATTGTCGTACAAGTTAGTCGGCAATTACAACGATAAGATTTTCTTGGGGGGAAACTTTAACGAGACGTGCGATCGTATCTTAAATGAGCGCTCGTTCAAGACAATCTTTTACAGCCGGTCGTTAAGGTGTTTCGAGATCGTTTTACGGGATACGGAGACGAATGGGTCCACCGAAGGCCCCACGAGATTGATTCCTTGCGCTTGGGCATAGCTGGGCGGTGGAATTCGCGCCACGAAGAACGATCGATCGTTTGCCGGGAAGCTGGGTCCACGGGTGGGCGAATCGGCGAATATCGCGGAGTACGCGGGTGGTGCGTCTCTCGAGGAGGGAATGTCCTGCGGGAATAATGAGACGTTATAAAGCAGAGATAATCCCAACTCGACCTCATGTCCTTCTTGTAATGTCTCTCATTTGTGGTACTCGTAATAAAAAAAAATTGAAAATATATGTAATACTGCTGAGAAGAGTAAACTTCAAAAGTTTGCATTTGTAAATGTACTTTATGTACCCAGGTAGCCAGTATGCTCGAGCAACGTGTGGAAATAAAATGCCAGCAACTGGCTAAGAATATGAATTCAAGGTTTGAGAGTGATTTAAGTGCAGCTAGCATAATGTTAACATATTGTCGTAGTTAAGAACGCATCGAACGGGCATACTGTTAACAAAGAGTTAGCATAAATCGTTTTCAATTTTTTTAACCGATATAAACATGTCATATCTATTACATCTGGCCAAGCATTTAATGCTAGTATAATGTTTGGATCATGCAAATGTTTCATTTCCGACATCAAATGCTAGCAAACAACAGCACTAATAGGCGACATAGATGCATAGCAAGATGCTAACGTTTTTGTTAGCAATATGAAAGCAATTTGTGCTAACGCTGGCTATCTGGGTATACGTCAATTGATCATAATAAGATAATAAGTAAGGATTCCTTCGAAGCGCGAGTATCATTTTGTCACAAAAACCGATATCGGCATCTGACACGTTGGAAATTTTTCGGACGGCTACTTGTACGAGTTATGTGCCTCGTCTCTCACAGCCGATGTACACCGAAAGCATTTACTGAGTTTCCATCGGCGTCGTTGCCGCTGTCTTTCGCGAGGAGGTGATCGGTCGATACGCAGCCAAGACGATTCATTTAGAAACGGGTGATTTAATGCTCCTTCACGTGAATTAGAGGATCCACGGTTTTGCTCCTGAACACCTTGAAAAGCAATAAATCCAGTGTCAGTCTATCGGTTTTACTTTTCACGCCGATTTTCTTTCTCTATTACCTGATACTCGCACGATATCATCGTCATCAATCACTCGTTGTACGTTCTCGTTCAGAGAAATTGAAGCTTCTCCGGCGGTCATATTTCACGTAATTCTAAAAGAAGTTATAAACTGTTTCAATGTACGACTCATAAATATTCCACAGATAATAGTACAGGGTATTCAAACAGAATTCTTTTTGAATTCCCGAATTATGAAATGAATTCCTTTTCCATCCCATTTCTATTTCAAACAGATTCTTAAGAGTTCAAAAAGAATTCGACCCTACGTCACAAATTTTGAGTTCTTTTATACAAGAGAAATTCGTTTGGAATTTATTTTAAACAGATCGCGCAAGTTCACGATTTAAATAAATTTGAAAAAGCAACTTCTCTTCGTAACGATTACCTATGCTATTTGGGACATGCCAGTTTTTCCTTAATTTAGACAAAATGCTTTAAATAATCCCCGAAGTATCGATTTTGTGAAATAACGGAGAACGGATTTTCCTATTTTCCAAGTGGAACATGGTAGAATCTAGAAACAGCTTCTGTAATTTAATAACACCTTTAATTTTGCAGTTCCGTCATTTCTTCACTTCAAGACTGATTTAAGCAGTTGGATCTTTCACTTGTATTCTTTCTTCTTGTATTAAACGCTCTTTATTCTACGTTAATAAGAGAGCATGGATTATTTCTTCACTTCAACGAGACAAAATATAATAAGAGCAAGATAACAATATTGACGTGTAAATGTAACCTAATAACCGAAATTATTATAAGACATGATACTCCGTTATTTATAAACCATCCTATTTGGGGAAAGCGATCGTCCAACAATGATTTTCCTGGGCACTGCCATAATCGATCAGCCGTGGATTAGGAGAGTGGCTCGCTTTTACCGGGGCATCGACGATTTTGGCGAGGTCACTGAATAACAGGATGAATATTTCACATTTCCTCGCGGGATTAGCAACGATCGTCTTCGCGATCGACTCGCGGCGATCATCTTTGTATTATATCATAATCGGGTTACCGAGCAATTTTTACACGCGCACGTGCAGTTCTGCGGTCTATTGTAGTCTCATCGCCGCGCTCGACGTGAAATTAGCGTGACTTTGGAGAACAAAAATATTCTACATTATATGTCAAATATCCATACGAGTTGGGTCGTCCCACAAATAATGCGGTATAAAAGGGAGATGTGATTTATTCTTCAGTTCAAAACCGAAAGTCGACTTCCCAGCGAGGAATGACTCGTCGGTCGATGTTGAAACAATGTCGACATCGACACAGGTGGCTCCTGCATAAACTGAAAGGAACAAATTGAAATTAAATTATGTCGTAGTTGTAAATTTTATGTATCAGCACGCGAAATTTCAGACCCGGTCAGTCTATCGGTTTTACTCTTCACGTCGATTTTCTCTCTCTATTACCTGATACTCGCACGATACCGTCGTCATCAATCACTCGTTGTACGTTCTCGTTCAGAGAAATTGAAGCTTCTCCGGCGGTCATATTTCACGTAATTCTAAAAGAAGTTGTATATACACTCGCCTACATAAGGTAAACTGTTTCAATGTACGACTCATAAATATACCACAGATAATAGTACAGGGTATTCAGAAAGAATTTCGCCGATGAAATAAAGTAAAGAAAAATATTAAACATGTGTTTCTTTCTCTTGCATAATCCCTTGCATAAACACAAGAGAGATAATAAGAATTGAAACATAACTTTTGTTTTGTTTTCACGAAAAGTGAAATGGCAATAAATTGTACAATATTCTACATAATCACACTTTATATATAATTATTGCATGTATATGCAATTTATATACGTGCGGACAAGTCTTTCTCGTTTCTTTACTTTTTATGAAAGAGCGGAAATTTTTTCCTCGGCTTGTTAAAATCTACACTGAAGAAAAAGTCTGATAGATTCAACCAGTCGTCTGTTAGAAAATGGACGAATCAGAATTCCTTTAGGATTTACCAGAATTCCTTCAGGATTTACCGTGAAAGATGTTTCATGACCAGAAGTTTGCTAGACTTCAGTACAAGTCTGGTATTTCCTAAAGGGAATTTTGATTCGTCCATTTTCTAACAGACGACTGGTTGAATCTATGAGACTTTTTTTCAGTGTACGAACGTATATGAATGTCGGAGCATCTATTTAATCTCGAGCGACTGGTAAAGTTTTGCGACGTGACAATTTAATCTTACGTTTGGTACACAAAAATATGCACTGAAAAAAATATCTGTTAGATTCAACCAGTCGTCTGTTAGAAAATGGACGAATCAGAATTCCTTTAGGATTTACCAGAATTCCTTCAGGATTTACCGTGAAAGATATTTCATGACCAGAAGTTTGCTAGACTTCGCTACAAATCTGGTAAATCCTAAAGGGAATTCTGATTCGTCCATTTTCTAACAGACGACTGGTTCCCAGTGCCCTAATAGCACAGAAATATTTTAAAAGGTTAAATATATTTTAAAATCTTTTTAAAATACTTTATAAATATTTTAAAATACATTGAATCTTTTAAAATATTTCTGTGCTATTAGGGTGAGAAATGATTCGTCGATCGACGAATTATTTCTCACTGGGTTGAGTCTATCAGACTTTTTTTTCAGTGTAGAAAGAACATATTTAGAAAAGAGAAATAAACAATCGAGATAATACAGAGCTAGGGGGGGAAAGAATTTAAAAAATACTTCGAATGCTCGACTCGATATCGATTCAATAATGGGAATATATAATCAATAAATATCGATATTCAGTAATGAGAAAAGGGAGCGCAACAAGATAGGTAGCAGTTTTGCCCACCTACGATTTCGCAACACCCGCACAAAGATGTCCGCTAGTCTTGAAACGGCCTGTAAACGCGCGGGGGGACAACACGCATATCCGCTCCCGTCTCGAATACACAGGAACGGAATCGAAAATTCGTCCGTCTTCGAAGAACGCACGGGCCCCGATGCGTGAAACGGCGCGATAAAGCGTGCGCGCGGGGAGGAGAAAGAGGCCGCGGTCTCCTCGAGATTTTCGTCCTCCGGGGAATCGCCGGAAAATCGGGTGTAGCGTGCGTAGCTGCGCGGCGTCGCGTCGAGCGCGCGCGCGCGCGCGCGCCGACGCCATCGCGCAAACGAGCGGGCGAGAGCGAGACGGCGGCGGCGAATCGCGCTCGGCGGCGCTCGGCGGCGAATCCGGGTGTATCGGCGTGCGCGGGCGAGGAGGCGAGGCGGCGAGCGCGCGGCGCGGCGAGGCGAGGCGAGACGAGGCGAGAACAGCCGAAATGGAGGAGAGCCAAACATCGGAAAGTGTCGCCGTGCTACCGGACATGTCCGAACCGTTGACGAGCGAGACCGAGGAGGCGGCCGCGCTGACGAGCGAGCACGAGGCACATCCCGTCGCGGTCACGGCGAGCGTCACTACGGTACCGGGTGTGCCGGGCGTTCCCGGGGTCGGCGTGCCGGTCTCTCTTCCCGTCGGCTCCATCATCGGTGTAGCGAACTCGAGCAATGGCACGACCTTCAACGTCATCACCTCGGATCAGCTGCAGGTACGCCCGTAGGGCCGGCCGCGCGATTTTTTTTCCCAGGCAATCGCCGTCCCGCGACTCCGAGACGGGACCTCGAGGGACACGCACGTCGGATTTTTTTTTCTATCTCTTTTTTTTCTCACATACTCTCTCTCTTCCCCGCCTACCGCTGTCGTCGCGACGACAGCGGGGAAGGTGCACGCGGACGGCGTGCCGTCTCGTTGGCGACGTCCCTACGCCTGGTCCGCCAGACTCGACTTGGCGTGAGTTTTAACCTTTCCGACGGAACGGAACTCGGTCTCCTGTGACGCGAGTCTCGCGAGCTGGGGCGAGATCGTACGCCTGGGTTAAGTCAGTTCGCGTTATTCGTGTCACTTGAGATGGACGGAGAAGCCGATCTCTGCAAAAGCGTGCGGGCGCGACGCTTCCGTGCGTAATTTTACGTAACGCGAGTATCAATGGCGAGCGAAACGAAAGGTTGCCCGGGAACTCACGACCTGTCCTTTTATTTTGGACGTCGGTCAATTTGAGTAAGCAGCGTCGTCCCGTTTCTTCAGTTTGTTCAGCGGTGACGTCTCCTCGTCGATATCATTTGCATTCAACGATTGTATCTTGTAAGAAACTCCACGTCTGTTTGTAAAATGAAGGGAACTCGGTAGGATTTTTTTTTTGCGATTTACGTCGCGAATTAAGAATCGCGTGCACTCAAAGTGTGTCCTTCACTTGTAGCTGCCGGGTTCGGGGCAGTTCAAGCAGATGCTATGCGTCGACAACGGGTTCATTTGCGAGCCGCGTCACGACAAGGACTCGGATCCGCTGCGTTGGAATGGTGAGCTGAAGGCGACGCACATAGTGATCCAGAACAGCACGGACGAGACAGAGTCGGAGCAGATACACGTGTCCACGCCCAGCTCTCAGCCGATATACAGCTGGTCGGATTCGGCGAATCTAGCGGTGCTGCCGATCAGATGTAAGAACACAAACGCGGAGCTGCACAAGAGCAGATTCGGCTCGGGCGGTAGAGGACGTTGCATCAAGCTCGGCAACGACTGGTACACACCCAGTGAGTTCGAGGCTCTCTGCGGCAGGGCGTCCAGCAAGGATTGGAAGCGCAGCATTCGATTTGGCGGCAGGAGCCTTCAGACTCTCATCGACGAACAAATTTTAAAGCCTCACGCAACCTCCTGCACCTGCGCGGCGTGCTGCGACGACGATAGCGCTGTAAGCAGATCGCTCGATATTTGCGTTTCGTATTTGTGTGTCGTAATGTTCGAAATTGATGTACATTTGTGTGAATACATTTTAATTTGAGCACGTAATCAGACAGGACCGGTGCGCCTCTTCACTCCGTACAAACGTCGAAAGAGACCGAAGGACTCGCCCGACGGAGAGACACCCTCGCGCAAGCACAAGCTCGAGAATTCGCGCGACGGCAGCAATAACGATGAGAGCGGCGACGAGGTTGTTGTGCCCGACAAAGAGGTCTGGCCGCAGTTTGTTTCCGCGGACGGGCTGGTGGTGCAGCAGTCTCAGGAACAGGACGCGGTTGTGCAGAACGCGCATCAAACGGAAAACGGTCAAGGCGACGACGTCTTTAAGAAACTGGACGAGATGTCCAACAAAATGCTGAAGCTGGCTTACGAATTCAGACGGACCTTGGAAGAGGCGAAGGAGTTGAACAGGCAGCAGAGAAGGGAGCAGGCACTGGTCGCGCAACTCGGGGGCCGGGCGGATGTTATCGAGACTGTTGGATTACAACCGGCATCTGATTCGCATAACAAGAAGGTATAAAGTATATTCGTGAAAAAGAATTTACCAAAGTAATGTCTGTATCTTCGAGGTGGCAGTAAGACGCGCCGCCTGACGCGTCCTCTATTTCCAATGTTTTATTTTTGGTATTGTTATAATTGCCTTTTCTTATGAATGTAATTCGAAAGCTCTAAACGTTGTGTTGACCCATTTCAAACAAAAACTCAGCATCATTAATGTACGACGTACTTTGTACGGTTACTCAGAAAGAATCTGTTTCAAAGCACACGTTCAATTATAAATAGAAATATAATGATTACAATAAGAATAAATAAGTAGAGGAAAGTTCTCTATTATGGGATAGGTTTCTAATACGAGATAGCAGGTTTTCAATACTCAAGTTCGATCACGAATCTTTTTCTCAACGATTACACAATCCAACAGTGAATTTTGCACTAAACAGATTTCGCCCCAAGGGCAATAAATTCGTGGTGGAATCAAGAGACGATGCCTATTGATTTAACAGAAACCCCCGCTATCTCTCATATTAGGACCCTATCGCATAATAGGAGAGACTCCTCTGTAATAAGACGCAAAGGAAAATGTGTATAATAAATTTCAGTGTGCCAACTGTAATCGAGAGGCGTTTGCAGAGTGCTCTCTGTGCAGACGCACGCCGTACTGCTCGACGTTTTGTCAGCGTAAAGACTGGGGAAGCCATCAGATAGAATGTGTGAGGGGTGCGGCCGAGACCGTGATGCTTATAGTAGAAAGCGGCAACGGGGACACGAGCACTCTCCCGACGACCGCAACGGACCAATAGCTAGTGTTTCTCACGCCGATTCACCAAAGGAATGCGGAAAGCGAGGAATCCAATGTGGAGGCACTGAAATTCAAGGAAGAGACGTAGATTCGAAGCGTTCACATTGCGCAGACATGCGTGTGTATATATATGTATGGTAGAGATTATTTTATGTGTATATGTTATACATATACGGTGTACACGGAAGCACGCGCGCGCGCGCAAAGATATATACATATGTTTGTATGTATATATGTATGTATGTATGCATGTATATATGTATTAATGATTATCAGGCTCCGAGACGCAATTGACTGGGAAAGACAAGGGGTTATGAGAATTATTTGAAGATTGTGTATAAACACATTTGAGTAAGATACCAAATTTATATCGATGTCAAGAGATTACGGCAAAGCCCCCGCCTAGTATTTCCGGAAAGAATTAAAGATTCGGTTTAGTTTTGGAAGTTTTTGATATGTCACGTACGTGTATACATATAAGCGCTAAGTTGAACAAAGCTATATTCCAGATATTTGGACTATTTAAAATTTCAAAATGTCACTGGGCTCAATTTGTTCGCAACTAACTATATGTATTCATTTCATATTAATTCATTTAAGGCCCTGCTTGATCACACCATTGATCACTCATTTGGGATGCTGAAACTCTTACTTTGTTATTAAAGCCGAGAGAAGAACGAATTGAAAATGAAAATTATGATCAGTCGTCGCCACTATTTGTTTTCTTCTTCGAGTTAAGCACGGCTTTCAATATCAGAGAATGAAAAAATCGAATCTAAATGCAAATAAAAAAACATGGTTAGTGCTGACCAAATTGACTTTTAGCGATTTCGGTTGCTTGAACTAGTGCACACCGAGTGCACGAAGGCTTGTTTACTATCAATATTCTTATATTTAACTTTGTATTAAATACATGTTCAAAAAGTATTTAGCCAAGAAAATGCTGCCGCACGAAATTGACTGAAAACAAATCTTAGTATGCACTCAGTGCACTCCGAGGCTTTAACTCTTTTCCGGAAATACTCGTAATAGGCGAACTGCCTGTCGACACTTGGTAGCACTCTTTATATCAATTACATTTATTGGCTATAGAAATTCATCTGAAATTAAATGCCTTGATCCAAACGTGACCCTTTAGAGCAATAATCGGATAAAGAAAAAAACATTTTATCAATCATTCGCATAATATCAAGCGAGACAAACTATCGTATACAATTAAGATACGATGAAACAGTGTGAATAAATTCAGAACTTATATCATAGAATTCTTATGTCTCCAGAGTCTTTGTAAGTGTAAAGAGAAGTTTTATCATCGTAATTCAGCCTATTAAAGTGTTACCCACCACGAGATGTGATACATATTATCTAATTATCATGTAATATCCATCATTGTTTAAAACGTTATTTTATTTTGTCATTTATGCATTCAATTTTTTTTATAACTTTATCAGTGTCATATGTTGCAACGGCTGAGAATTGTCTACTCTTGCGACTTTTGAATCCCCGATTTTATTCTTTGCTACAATTTGATGCATTTATTTCACTAACATTGTATGTATATCATGTTAGTGAGTAGCATTGCTTTAATAAACTGGATTGCAAAGAAGCTTTTGGTATTATCGTAAGGATTTTTACATATCGTTTCTTATTAGTGCCACTGAAATACCATATATATATATAGATTCTACGTTGCATAATTCTGTCTGTTATTCCTTTCGATTGAAGAAGCAGTGAGTAAAAGAACGCTTCTTCGCAAATTATAAAGCACATAAATTACACAAAGTTAGTTTTTAATTGTATTGTAATAAAACTTTAATTTAAATAGTTAGGTATATGTATAATTAAGAACAAATTAGGAAATGCGACAATTGACTATCTTTAACGGCAACACACTCCGGTTAAAGATATATAAAATACAAAAAAATTTACATCCTGTTGAATAAATCTATTTAAAATAATTTAAAGAAATTATAAAACATTAAGATAATTTTTAGTTTTCAAATATAAACAACGAAATTCTTTTATATTCATTATAAGTTACACACACATTCTCTCTCTCTCTTTATATATATATAAATGTTATATATATAATATTATATATATATCAAGGTAATTTTTATTAAAAAGTCAAGTTAAAATAAGCATAAAGATATAAACTTTCCAATTTTTAGTTATTTTTTCGGAAATAAAATCTGTATATCTATTCTACATTCATTACTTGCTTTTTCGTAAAGAATCTTTTTTTTTCAGCTATACTCTTGGATCAGAGAACTGTATATGTGAACGTGTATGTATGTATATGTATTTGCGCGTGCGCGTAATATGTCATACATTATAATTAAATTATGATAATCTGCAGCTTGCTAAGTAAGCAACGACTACGTTTTTGTTTTTTAAGTGAATCGAGATGTAATGATGAAACGAGTAGCTACTTCGCATGTCGGTTGTCGGACATGCATAACACATGCGTACAAGTATTCAGGAAGAGATATAAACATATAATTTATATTTATTACAAAGTAGGATCTCCTGTAAAAAAAAAAAGATATTTCGAACATGTCCATCGGTTTTTTTTCGGCTGCATATAGTATACCAAGTAACATTGTGACATAAAGGTACGTTGTGTGTAAATATATGTATGTATGTATTCATGTATGAGGCACATGTTACTTTATAAAAACATTTGGTTCTAAATTACTCAATTAGAAATGTACGGAGTGCAATGTATACAAAGTTCTGGACGATTTGCTTCTGATGAACGTGCAAGAGACAAACGACCAAAGGTGACAATCACCTCCATTCTGTAAATTTGTGACTTAGGCGTTACATTTCCCGATGTATATTGGAATACGTCGTTCACGTTGCACATTATATCATTTTGTTTTTCTAAACATTTAACTAGCGAAATATTATCCGAACTTGTTTTATTTATAAAACTCCTACGTAACATCATTTTTTACTCATAGTACAAATATATAAAGATATAAAAAAAATATTTATTGCAATTAGACGTGCCGTAAATAGAGGAACTGCAATGCGTACAAAGTCTGTATTATATGTAACGTGCAAAAATTCGTGATTAATTGGACCACAAGATTCGGTTTAATTAAATGGAAAAGGAAACAAATTAGTTTATAGTCTTTACTACTTTATACAAGAATTTTCATAATGTTAAGAGGTATCGTTTGTACATAATCATTTGTGTCTCTTAAGGCAAGTAATATTCAAACGTTAAGAAACGCTTTGTGTCAATGAAGTGAAGATGATTTAAATGTAACATCTATCACTTTTCTACAATTCTTTCCTCATAAACAGAAATTGCTTTAATATGAACACATTGTGTATTTTATTTTTAGTAAAAATATGATTTTTTTTCTACTGCACGGTGAATATGAAACGATAGTAAATAAATTGACATGTGATACTATAAATAAAAGGATGTAAAATTTGCTGCTTTTGAATATGCGGAAATTTTTCAATTTCTTGTTTAAGGGTATATATAATGTAGTACATCGGTATGTATAATCTAGTATCTTTCTAATGTCGCACAGCTTTTCCTAGACTGTGTAAAATTAATTGTACGAATAAACTAATAGCAGTTAGTAGGCTAGATCAATTAAAATGTACCTACATATGAAAGAGACAATTACACACCGATCTTACACATTCCACATAGATTTGTATACTGTATACAATCCGTAAGAAAAATTCTTTTATAAATACAATTAATAGTTTCCATAATGCTTCAACCTATACAGTAAAGCAGAACCCGTTCTATTAGAGATGCTGAGATAACCACCGCCGGGAGAAAAGGCAATGGCTTCTGGCAGGCCTATGTTCGTTTGAAGCGTCGGGAAGTTCGAGAACACGGTAAACGATGGTAGGTGCAACATCTTAAATGCATTGTGTTTGTCAACCGATGCCGCGCTCAGAATCTCAGAAGTCGGATTAAATCTCAGGCTTGTAACGCTAGTCACGAGATTCATTACTATTTTGACAGGCACGGGACTTCGATCCTCCAATACGCTTTTCGTATCGTACAGATTGACCACACCCTGTTTGCTACCAGTAGCCACAAACTGACCGCTCGGTGACACGGCGAGCGATGCGCAAGACAAGCTTCCGTCGTCTACAGCACGATTGATGCACGTGCGAGTGTTCAGATCCCACGCGTACATCTCGCTACCATCTGCGGGTTCGAACGAGAAAGGGATATAAATGTGCCAATTTTGAGAAATCTCGTCGGAAGGTGCTCACAGAAACAAAGATTGCACAGGCCCTACTGCTACTCACCGCCGTGCGTGATGAGAGTTTTACTGTCTGGTGTAAACGCTAGTGCCCGGCATTTAGAATTCATCTTGAGAGTACCAACTAGTTCTTTGGTGGAGTTGTGAAGTAAGTATACTTCTCCCAGCCTCCCACACAAAGCTATTATTTTGCCATCAGGGGACACCTCGTAACGCTGAAAATATCAAAATGTACCCTGCAGCCTTCAATCTACGAAAGTTACTTCCGACAGATTTGATCCCACGAACCTTCATGTTCGTAATCCCGTGCGGCAGAGGTAGCTTGTAAATCTTGCCGCTCATCAAATTATAAATTTCGCAATGCGAATAATATTGGGAGCCGAGCAAAACTTCCGTGCCGTCCTTCATAAATGTTGCCTTGCTAATTGGGTATTTTTTGAATTGCATGCTGTGCAATTTTTCATTTGTATGGCCATCCACCTACAAAGCAGAAACGATTTATAGTTCAATATATAATAATCGACGGTAAACGTTCTAATAATTCAATTGACTTGGCTTCAAGAGAAATTCTTATCTAAACAGTCAAATCCTCTTCTTCTTCCTCGCGCATTTAGATACCTGAAACAGAGACAAGACGCCCGACGTGCCAGCGACCAGAGCCACAGTGGACGACGGATGAAACTCCACGCTGGTGACAATAGGACCTTCCGTGTGGGTGCTTTTGTTCAAGGCCTTGAGGGCCTTGATGTCAATAATGTTCTTCGGTAGATTCTTTGCTGTCGACGCTTCCAAGTGGCAGCTGTGCTAAATATGGGAAACGACATATTGAGATTCCGTTCCATCGAGGGGAAGAGGAAAGCCAAAGTACCTTCAAGATATTGCTCTCCAGGTCGTCGACATCGGCTACGTCCGTTTTCTCGAGCTCCGCCCACTTCGGGGTACCCACAAACAATTTGTATCTGTTCTCCAAATACGTGGTGTACAACTTTTCCGGCCTCTCGCACAGCAATTTGCGATTCTGCTGGTCCAGAGCCGTCTGTACGCTGCGCGAAAATATAAGAAATCCGTATAACGCAGAAGTAATGCACGATATTTGCCCGAAAAGGGAAATATTCCGTTTTACGTGTAACTGTAGTCGTCCTCGTCTATCCACGCCGCTTCCCTTTTCTGCGGCTGCGCGTCGTCGCCACAATTGGGAGCTGAAATATCCTGGTCCTTGTCATTCTTAGCGGTCGTTTCGGAAACATCGACCTCGGAAAATAAATTGCTGACGATGTCGCTGGTATCGCCGAAAACGACCTTCTCCAACCTGCAAATGGAATAGCGCGATTAAGTTATTACAATCACCTCGGGACGACGTGTAGCTCAATGCTGAAGGGTTTCTGGTTCGATCCCCGACGTTCGTTCCGTATATAATTTCCTGTCCGGGGGAAAGTTCAGCGTTTTAAAAAGTACTCGCGCTGAACTCGCTACTTAATTTAGAGGCTTGAAATTAATTGACCAAAAGATTTTTAATTTACGAGACTTAGGGCCAGTTTCACAAACGTCGTTTAACCGCTAACCCATGGTTAATTGATCCTCTGTCTCTTCTTGGATAACAAGATAGAGAAAGATAGGAAGTCGACTGAACTCTGGTTAACAGTTAACCGACGTTTGTGAAACTGGACCTGAGAGAACGCTGAACGACATTCCGTGCTTTCCAGCAAGCGACACAAGTCGACACAAGTGTCGTTCTGTCTTTATTATTCATTGAATGCGAAGAAAGACAGAACGACATTTGTGTCGACTTGTGTCGCTTGCTGGAAAGCACGGATTGTAAGTCGACGGCGCTCCGGAAATATTCTCAGGCTCTAACAGATTGTCGACGATATCGCTCATATCACCGAAAACAATTTTCCCTAACCTTGAATATTACCAGTCAACTATTACCATGCGCTGGCGCGCTTTTACCTGGCTTCTTCAGCAGAGTCGTACTCGTTTTTCCGCTTTTTCCTATAAGGCACCGTGAACTTTTGAGTGTACAACACTTTCGACGTATGTTTCTTGGCTTTACGCTCGCCATCATTTTTACTACGCTTAGAAGCTGTTTTATGTACAGTCTGCTCGTCCATTTCGCTTCACTCGACAAGTTTAGCGTACAAGCTACAAAGTATTGTGTATTGTATTTTGTATATTGTATCGAGTACACACAACCTATCCGCACGTGCTTACTTGGGGCTGAGACTACGAAGTATCTGAAGGTGGAGCAGCGACACCGTAGGCCATGCGGTCACAGATGCAGTAGTGAAATGTTTTCAGCTACGCTCCCCAAGTATACCAGGGCGCGCTACTATCGCTACAAAAGTTAAATCGGTTTTGTAAGGCCGGTATTCATAGTCGATTCTTATTTCAAAATCGTAACTGTTGTCTTAAGAAGCTAACGCGGCTCTGCGATTGGTTAAAAACACATTAAGGGGATGCTGGAGTCTGTCTGTTTTACCGACAACGCGAAAGTTATGTATGTGTGCGTATATGTATATTACATAAAAAAGAAAGAGAGAGCAATAATACGATACATCTTTCCTTGTCTACCAGATTGCAGCGCCATCTTATTATCATGCAGTCCTTTATTTATCATTCTACAGCTGTATTTGCATTTATAAATTTTTCCCTAACCCTATCTTTTTTTTCTAGACTTTTAATCTTAGTTCCAAGTACACAATATTGTTCTTGCATGTTGTCTCTAGGTCTCTCCGGCCTCATTTTGCAGATATAAACTATAGAATTTTTGTATAAGCAAATATTATCGTCATGTGACAGCTCTACATGCCAAAATATTTAATTTTTTTTCGTTTTTTATATAAAGTCGAGCAGACGGACTTTTATTTTTGTGCGAACTTTAATCGTGTACAAGAAATTTGCAATTCTGTAAAGCCAATTAAAAGATATCCCTAATTAAAAAATGTCGGTAAAACAGAGAGACTCCAGCATCACCTTAAGAGTATACTTAGGATGATCTTAAATATAAGAACGGACCATGAATACCGGCCTAAAGCCACACGGACTAAAACTCGCGGTTTCAATTATTGAAAAATTTTTGTGTACTGTAACACATAAAACTTACGTACACAAAAATGAAATCTTATTTAAAATGAGACAACCTGTATAATTATTCGTACCAAGTTTTAGTTTCCTTAGAAAACTCGGGTTTAAAAAAAAAAAAGAAAACAATGTTATTAAATCGCATAACAAAGTCATTAAGATTTTTCGGTAAAGGTAGATCTAAAATTAGTTAAATGGTACATAATATGAGTAAACAAATACGATTCTTAATAACGATGTATATTCACAAATGCTTCTCGCTATGCAAGTAGAGTACAATGACGAAATAATATAATTTAGAATCATTCCTCGTCGTCGTAAAGCGACAAGTTGGATTCTGTGTTCTCAGGTGACGACTTGTGATCGAAGACGAAGAGACACTTCGGCTGGTATTGCTCTACCGCTTCCAGGAGGCTGTCTGGATAACCAGGCGAGTAGTATCTGCAGCGAATTTAGGAAATAAAAAACTTGCATTCGTCTATCGACTACGTCTGTTTAAAAAACAATAAATTAAAATTGTGACGAGAGACGAAGAAAGGACAGGAAAGGAATGAAATATAGGGAATACAAGCGAAAGAACGGAAAAGGCTGTCTTTGATTGAACTACATTTGCATCAGCTACAGGAATTACAGATTGAAGTTCAACCAATTCAAAATTGGCATTAAAATTAGGTTTATCCGATGGATCGAGTCCTGATCTTCCGTTCGCTTTTTTTTAATTACTATCAAGTCTATTTCTATCAATGAGGACTAACTTTAATCTCGGTTTAACATAGACACCTTTTACCCTTTTCTAACTTTCTTCTAATAAAAAGAAATTGGATGGATCGAGTCCTGATCTTTCGTTCGCATTTTTTTTTTATTACTATCACGTCTATTTCTATCAATGAGGACTAACTTTAATCTCGGTTTAACATAGACACCTTTTACCCTTTTCTAACTTCCTTCTAACAAAAAGAAATTCTTGAAATTTACTGCGCACAGCCTTGCTTTTATTTGTCCTTTTTCTCTCGAGTCGCATATATCGAAGCGAACACACACGAGAACGTTATTCTCTTTACCGATCGATACGTAAACGGATTAGCGACGGAAAAAGAGAAGAAAAATAAAAGATTGCAAGCGGATAAAGACGAGGGACTAGGCTCTCCGCGTGCGATGGCTGTCCGAAAAAAAAAAGAAAGAGAAGAAATTATTAATTTACCCCACATCGGTGAAAACGTCCGTCACGAATCGTAAGGTCTTGGTGTTATATTACGAGAATATCAAGTCTAACGTTCTGCATGGCATTCATAAAAACTATCGTGCGCGATATTTTTAAAAAAAAACAAGGCCTCTCGATTCGAGTCCCGAGGTAATATTTTTCACGGTAAAATCGCAGATCGACGATTTAAAAGAAAATGTTTACTGGCGTCAAACGTTCCATCGATTATGTCGATCGAAAATGGCTTTACTGCCCGAACAAAGAAACTGCGTTTCAAGAGACCGACAGATCGCCGGCGCGCAGTTCGCCAAGTTTGGGAAAAAGTGTACGAGATTCACGCCGAGGTACTACCGTCTCGGATCCACCAAGATCCAGGCCGACTAAGACCACGGCAACTCCTCTGTTTAATTGTATTATTAATCGGCGCGTATTGCGCGCCAAAGTAATAATTGGGACGATTTATTGATCCTGCGCGCGCGCCTCGAGGCGCCACGCGTACGTGCAAACACGCGCGCGCGCACACGCGCACACACACACACTCCGGAGTCACGGCGATCAGCTGTGACAACATGGCGGGCGCGCTGTTTATCGCACGGTCGATTTAAATTAAGACACCGGGGATCCAGAAACGGTGCCGCGGCAGTTATTTGCATACGCTGGCGGCGCGTGAACGACACTGGCCCGTATTAGTCCGGACTCTTAACAGCCCGCGAGTGCGTGTCCTCGCCCAGCCGTGTAAGTATTCGGAACGGCGACCCGAAAGGGAGAAGGTTATAAACGAGCAACTAGTGTTTTGCGGTAATTAATTCATCCCGTTCGCTACGCGCGTCGCGAATATCCCGTCGTTTCCCCCTCCCACCCCCCGCGGGGAGGTCAGGCCGCCGTCCTGATCTCCTCGCGGGTCGCACTTTGCGATAGGAATCGCTGTGCGTCGCGTAGGGAAGTTAATTATGTATTAATGACCTGACTAGATGGCCTTCCATGGGAGAGAAAGAGAAAGAGAGAGGGGACATAGACGTTCTTGAATGAGAATTGCCGAGGAGAATTTTCGCGTGCACACGGCGTAGAGAAAGCGTGGACGTGACAGAGGAGAGTCGGAGATAAGTGCGAAGGTAATTTTGAGAGACAGAAACGAAGAGACGCACGTTTGTTAGAACCGTCGCGCAAGGATGCGCCTCTGATCTTACGTTAAGCGACGGGGAGGAATTTAGAGAAAAGGTAAAGAGTAACCTGACAATCTCCTCCGGGTAGCAGCAATTGATAATTGTTATGTATTCCGAGAGGGTGGTGCCCGGTTCAGCCTGAATCTCCTGCACCTTTTTCAAGCCGCCGGATGTGACGAACACTCTCCTCGCCCTCGCGTCGTGCGGCAAAATCTGTGGGCGAGGAAACACGATGTTACAAATGGGAGAAGCGATTTGATTATTTGTCAGAGGGTCGGCGAAATATCGGTTGAACACTCGCGACGTTACGGCCCAGATGGCCAGTGCGCTCACTTGCTCAAACAATGTATGGAAATGAAACGCCAGCAGCTGCTGCTAGCTCTTCGCTAGGAATGTGAATTCAATGTTTGAGTGATTTAAGTGCAGCTAGCATAATGCTAACATATTGTCGTTGTCAAGTGCATAGCTAAAAAGAGAGAGAGTACATCGCATGGGCAAACTGTTAACAACCCAGTCAACACGCATGTCTAAATGACGTCTTAAAAGAAACATCTTTAAGACTTATTTCTAATTTGTGAGAACCGTCTTCTGTTCATTTGTGGCTCACATTGGCACTCTTCCCTTTCTACATAATTCTTTTTTGGGAGTCTTCACAACTTTTTGGAATATTTAAGACTTTACTAAAAGGCGTCTATAAGACGTCAGAAAAGAACCGTCTTGAGACATTGTCAAAAAGATATCTTTCTGACGTCTTATAAAAATATAAAATATAGATTATATGTCAAATAGTGTTTATATAACCATTAAAGTTTCAATTAATACATTTGTTAAAGCATCTGTGACATATTGCTAAGATGTTTGAAAGTATTTTAAAAATAGAAAAGTTTGAAATTAGAATAATGAGATTTGTAGTGTAATATGTAGTGTACAACGATCATGTTCTTGGGACAAAGTGGAGAGCTTGAATGGCGTGAGGAAACAGAGGAAAAGCAGAGATTATATAGAAAAAAAAATTTTTAATATGGACTGATCTCTTTCTGAGGTATTATAAAGATAAAATAAGATACTAAGATAAATGCCCACTGGGCATTAGTGGGCATTGGTGTACATGATTTTGGTCAGCGGTTTACCCCTCCGTTTGGATGCAAAAGTATAATTTCCGACATAAAGTGCTAGCAAACAACAGCGCAATAGACGACATAGATGCGTAGCAAGATGCTAACATTTTTGTTAGCAATATGAAAGCAACTTGTGCTGACACTGGCTGTCTGGGGGCAGAGGCGCCGTGCTCTGTGTGGAAGTGGGCCGGCACAGAAAATCAGAAGTACGACGTAGTAAACATTAGGAGTCACCGTGTCGTGTGTTGAAACGCGTCTAAGAATAAGGCTTCCGAAACCTGACCTGCATCACTATCTGAGAGCGCGCTGCAGGCTCCCCGCACGCATCTTATTCTTTTGGTAAATTAATGCAAGTCAAGAGGTATTCATAGTCCGTCCTTGTATTTAATGCCCGGTCTACAATGAGTCGTTAGTCGTTAGTCAGAAGTCGGAACTATATGTTAATCCTTTTTCTTTCACCCAGAAAGAAAAAGGAGTGGCATATAGTTCTAACTTCTAACGACTAACTCATTAAGATGATCTTGAGGTAAGAAACTATGAATACTTGCCAGGGAAGCCGAGTGTACTTAAGTTAATGTTGTTATCTGGAATACACACATATTCCGGCATTCTCTGCCACTTTTGGATCAGAATTCGGATCAGACTGACGTTATTAAATTCAATCGGTGTAATTATTGAACAGTAAACTGAACTGCGTAATCAATGATCACGAAGCTGAGGTAGTTGACTTGCGTATCGGGACAAAGCGATAAGATAATCATTTGTTTCGACACGTATGTAGTAACAGAGAGAAAGCACTTTTCGTAAACGTCAGCGTGAGAGTGTCTAAGATAGTCCTGTACTTGCACAACTGCGAATAACCACCAAGTTGAGTGCATATTAATGTGTATATGTTGAGTGTAAATCGGATCGTGCAGCCTCCACGAGGGATACCTTAGTTAATGCAATAATATCGCAAACTATAGTCGCATTGTTTTTCTTGTAACGAATTCTTGGCTTAAGCAGGAAAGGTATACTTAGGTAGCATATAACTTTTTAACCGTGCAAATGCCGTCACCCTTAAAAAAATATTCAGAAAGTGTAAAAATTTACATATAGAGGAAAGTCCCCTATTATGAGATCAGCTCCTAAGATAGGATAGCGGGGTTTCTGTTAAATTGATAGGCACCATCGGTTGATTCCACCATGAATTTCTTATCTGTTAATCTGTTTAGTGGGAAATTCATTGTTAGATTGTGTAACCGTTGCGAGAAAAGATTTGTGATTGAATTTGGGTGTTGAAAACCTGCTGTCTCATGTTAGAAATCTATCTCACGATAAAGGACTTTTCTCTACTAATAAATTTAGAAGCCAAGTGTTTATTTTTCAATTTCTCGCTTTTTCGGTCCACTCGAGACTCCTTGCTGTATATTAGTTCTCATAGATATATATCAATCGTCGTATTACTCATCGTGTTTGTGATTCTAATTCTGACTCATCAGTTGAGGCAATGCTTGCTTCGTGCGCGATCGAATGTTTGCGTATTAAATCTAACTATCTTTGAGTTCATCGATAATAGGGATGATAGGGAACAACAATACTTTACTGGTACATAGAACAGCCTATTAAGAGAATCAATAGTCCAGATCTTCCTATCAAACTTCTCTTGTGATTCTGTACCATGCTCTCGGAATCAGAAAGCTGTTTATTGAAAGAAAGACAGAGAGAGAGACAAGGTAGGAAAAAGATGTAATATGTGCGTGCGTGTTTTAAATTAAATTTAATTAATTAAAATTAAAAGTGGAAAAAATGATTTCCTTTGTTAATTTCAAGTGGTGTTGCTATCATAGGAATCTAACAATCTATTTTCTACTAAACAGATTTCACTCCAAGGACAATAAATTCATGGGGGAATCAACAGATGATGGCTATTAATTTAACAAAAAACCTCGCTATCTCATATTAGGAGCCTATCTCATAATAGAGGACTTTTCTCTATATATTATATTACATATGCACTTTGTGTACTATATGCATCTAACAACACGTGCCATTTCGTATTTCATTCTGAATCAAGGTATTTAGGATCAACAGAGTGATGTGTTAAATTTCTTGATTTTTACTGCAAGCTTCTGAATTGTGACTGTAACAATACCCCACCGAGTTACGTAACGAAGAATAGGTGATCTTTTTTTTTCTCGAAAAATGCTTCGCACTAACAGTAAGTTAATATTGTGAGATAAAAATAAGTAGAGGTGTACGCCCTAACATATCGTTGTTACAATTAACATCGTTTAAAATTGATTCACGCTGTAATTCCTCGATAGTTTTTACGTGGTGCCACCGGAACTGACTAAACTCGCTTACATAAAATTCCTGTAATTTTCGTAAGCAATACATTGAATCCTGCAATCGCTACTATACAGTTTTACGCACTTTGCATCGGTATCGGACGGCCGTATTTCTGGAGGAGAAACAGAGAGACAAAATAGAAAAATAAAAAATAACGAAAAAGTGAAATTTGGCAGTGGTGACTGTATTCGATCTCGCGTCGCTATGTGTTGCCTTATTGACCGGTTCTCCACCACTGACATGGAATTTTGTAAACAACACATTATCGTTATTAATAGCATCAATTTTGACGCAGTATTTACCGCAGAGCGCGCATACTCTGCGCAGTTTTGAATGATATAAGAATAATTTATGTCCATGTACAGGGTGTTAGAAAACAAGTCTTTAAGACCAATTGCAAGGATATGTAGTACTTATTAAGAGGAGTGTCGTTGTTGAGCCGAGAAATAAGTCGAGAAAAATTCAGCACAATTAAGTGCAATTAAATGAAATAGAAACATTTTTCCCATTTTGACAATACGACCCGTTTGAACTGTATAAAATCTGTACGATCCTTTTGAATCGATTTTTGCATACATTTCGTATCTAAAATTATTGAAAAGTGAATAAGATATTTCATATCTGAGATATTGTATTCCGATAGATACATTCGGAAACGTCTTGCAAAGAACATACGTGTTCCACTTAGGACAATTGTGTTTTAATATTTTTATGAGGAACGACGAGACGTGTATAAAACGATGAAGATTTAGAGTGAAGATGAAGAAAATACGTGCAAAAATACGAGCGCGCGTTATCAAAATCGAAAATCATTTTCCTCCTCGACGCAGTTAATTTTTCTCGATTAATCCTTTTCTTTGTACCTCGCGAATATTTTTACACTATACGCCTTGGATTTTTTTTAGCACACAAACACGTCTCGATTTTTCAGAGATACTTTATGGCACGTTCACTTTGCGTCTCTGCGTGTTATTTGTTTAAATTTACATCGCTCGCTCTCGTCTGTTTACAGTTTGTCACTTGACGTTGGACCGTGAGTGAAACTGCGCCACTGATGAATAATAGAGGACATTGCGACACGTGCGTTTTCCGCCACGTTGCATCATACCCGATGAAGAAGTATCGAAACCGCTCACTGTTGATTTTACCCTCATTGCAGTTCAAGAGGGACCACCGGATCAACCCGGAAGTTCCGTGAAAACGGCTTAGGAACACTTTTACTCGTGTGCTTAATTTGCGCCGCATTCAAAGCTAAATTCGGAGACGTTCTCTTAGACGCGAACGCGTTTCGAGCGGAGGGATGTGCGTTTGAAAAAGATTGCGAATTGCGCTTCTGCGTGCGCGAACGTTTCCGCGTAGACGAGGAAAACGAAGCTGAGACTGATACAATTCGAACTCAATCATGGACTGTTCGATGATCGACGATTAAAACACTTAGTTTAGTCGGGTCGCTTTACGAAAAACGTATTGCCGTAATAGTGTCGTTTCAGCATCGTGTAATCGCGAGCGCTCGGTACATAAAACACCGCCAACGAGACGAGATAGCTGCCTTAAATTTTCAAGATAAGTGACAGTTTGAATGACGTAAAAAACAAGGGCACTTTATCACTATACTCCTACGAGTTGCACATTACGCGTTTGCACCTAGCGTGTCTATAAAATCTCCTCTGCGAGGTCTCCTAGTCAGTTTTTCCAAGATCACGCGACAGAGACCTAAAGACCAGCGCCAAAAAACGAGAACTGCGATTTGTAAAGTATCCGAGAAATTAGACTTTTACATTTCGAACGGAGCTGCGAGGTTTCATCGATTGTACAGTCGTGCGAACGGCTCGGGCGTGCGTATAATAAAAATTAACAAGAGGCAGGACCCGAGGGGTTGCGTCGCGATCAGAATGATAAACAATCAGCATTGTGTGATCCTTAACACTGGCGAGACCAACAATTATCATCAACCGGTCTCGGCCAAGCCCTCGGTTGTCTCGGTGTCGAGTATCGACTCCGATGTCAGCGATAGGCGGGATGTACGCGAAGAACTGTACGCCGGGATCTTTAGGAGGCACAGAAAAACTATACTGGTATTAGGCAGTTTTCTCAAGATGTTAAGGGTGAATAGAAACATGAACAATTACGCTAGCATTAAACCGAATGACGAAACGGATGAGTAAGTTAGGTCGAGAACTTACTACGTTTTAAAGTGCAATTTTTGAGCATGAAGATAGACTTTATCGATACGTTTCTTTCTCCTTCTTTCATATACATATAACGAATGCGGCCAGACATTTTATAAGATATCGATTAAATGATGATCTTGGTTCTAAACCACGTAAGGATATCAGTTCTATAATAGAAAATTGTTCGAAAGTTACGCTAAATTTATTTCAATTTCAATATTCAAAAAAATTTGGTCTCTACTTCGTTGACTTTTTGTAATTTGTTTGTTTGATTGACATCTTCTTTTACGAGTTATTTTCAGAAAAACCTTTTCTATGTATATCGCTAATTAAATAACACAAGATCAATGAAAGAAAACTGCCAATCGAAAGATTTATATAAATAGGGGAGAAATTATATAAATATATACAGGAAAATTTTAATTATTGCAAAAATGCAGAAAATGGTTGAGAAAAAAACAATTCACTCTGTAATCATAGATCAATCTGCCTATCGAGAAAATAATCGATGTGTCTTTTTCATCGACATGCTTCTTTTTAATTCTCGTCATTGGTTTTATTATTATTCCATGCCAGCTAAGCGCAATGAACTTTCGTTATATTCAAATCTACGTGAATTTCCAGCATTTATATTGAGCACAAGAAAAAGTTCGATGTTGAATAACTTTTCTGTTTTGTTTTTGCAGAAATATTTGGACAGATTGCATGCTCTGAGCCGGATATACGCCTTAATTGCTTTAAGATTCGAAACGCACCAAAAGTTTTGGTAAAGTCGCTACATTTTTTCTGCATTTCGCTATGCATTATGCAATTGCATTTTGAAATTTTTCTCGTCTTAAATATGCGTCGTCTCACATGTCCCATGTTAAAATGTGACGTTTGCGGTTTTCCTTTTGTGTTTTATGGACACTTAAAACTAATGCTCTTCACACTTTTGCAATGTACTGATTGTGAGAGAGATTTCTTTTTTAGAATCTAAGAGACACTTCTGTTGAAAATATGAGAACCGCTAATGTTGTCGATAAAAATCCGAAATGACCCGTCAAATCGGCCAGCACCTTAATGTATACTGAAATTACTGTCTGTGTTATTGTTGACGAGCTTATATATTTATTAGAGATACATAACTGAGGGCATATGTAACAGTATAAGATTTGTATAATACATATGGACTAATACGAATATCAAATCAATGCCTTATCACTTGAAACGTTAAGGTATTGTCTAAGTTTACCGGTCGATCGTCGATCGATCATCAACATTCGTCAACTTGATTGCTCTTTATTGTCCTATATTCGAACATTTTTGTACAATTTGCGTCTTTGTGTACATCAGATACTGCCATTAGAGAATAAAACGATAAGGTAGACGCGAATTAGCGAGAGCAACTTGGAAAACAATCGTGCGTTCAACACTTTTCTAAGGCATACCTAAACGACAGGTTTTTTAAATGAGTTTCTATTTAATAAGGCAAACATGTCTCTGTACTTATTGTTAGCCGAACCACTCGCTGTCGTAAGACTGAAACATGTGCTCTTTTGGAACATTAAACGTGCCATACTATCTTAGAAAAAAAAAAGAAGGTTCGAGAAGAAGGATGAAAGGGAGGAAAAGGGGTAAACAACTTCTACTTATGGATTTCTGAATTGTTCTGAGCGTACATGATACGGAGCATATCTACGCGTAATGGCAACGCAATTATATTTTGTACCTAGGTCAGGAGTGCAATCTAATCGGCAAAAAATTGTTTTGCTTTCGAAATAAACGATCGGAAGTAAGTCGACTGCGGATATGTGCGATCAGAGGATCAGTAGGAATGTAAAATTATTCGAGCAATTGCAGTTAAGTATGCGTACGTGTGTGTATGTGTGCGTGCGTGCGTGCGTGCGTGCGTGAGCGAGCGTGTATGGAAATTCTTATTATACGTACGATAATAGCGTTAGAGATATTCTCTTCGGAGCTACCGAGATATACCTGGAATCTGTATCTTATGGTATAATAGTTTCCACGAGTCGAGAAGGGGGGGAAAAAAGGAAGGAAACATTCGCGTCCCTTACGCGCAGCTGCTTGCGACCAATTTTTAAGTAGGGCAAAAATTTGTATGTTAGTAGCTTCGTCGTGTATTCGTTTGCATATATTTAAATATTGTGCAACGTAAACATCCACACGTAATCACGAAACGCGATTCTTCATTGAGCGACGACGGGAGGAAGGGCTATACTTTGCATTCGATTGATCAAGATTCTATGCAATTTTTGTAACGAGCAACTATGTCCTAAATACGTTGTTGTATTGGGTGAGAAAGGAAATTTGTATTATCACTTTGTATAACGTATCATTAGAACGTATGTGAGACACACTGAATAAAGCATTCATATTATGTTTAATAAATTCGCGGATGCTGTTCTTTTCGCCTTTACGTTATTGCGATCGCGAAGTCTTCTCGACTGGACTCTAAAATCTTACCTTGCTAAATTGTCCCAGCACATATTTCAGGATGTTGGGGGGCACGTCGTGCAGCAGGGATTCAAGGGCCTCGATGTACATGCATTTCTGTAGAATCTGCTTCAACGCGGTGTTGCATTTTGCCTTGAGATCCTCGGAGCTCTTCGGATCGTTGTACAGCTAAGGAGATCGCAATCGGGAACGTTATTAAAAATTCCGACTGAGAGAGTAACTGAATACCGAATAGCTGGATACCTCCAATAACTTGGACAGTATGTTCGCGACCGCAATTGCTTTCGCATGTTCGGGCGTGTGTTTGCCAATGTGCCCGATGGCCCAGACGGTCACCGCGAGAATATGATCTTCCGCTTCCTCTTGCAGCACGATCGCTAATTGCACGACGCCCTGTTACAAAGTAATTACTCCAGCGTGTTGCATAAAGTGCAAAAATCACCTGGTCACTTCCATTCGACTCGTACCTTGGATCCTATCACAGCCACGGCCAGCTGATCGGAATGGCCGGCGATGTAACCGAGTGCCATGATCGCCGGCAATCTGGTCGCCGACTTTGAGGTGTTAATTAATTCGATAAGCGCGGCGATGCCTCCGACGTTCACCACAAGCTGCGCCAACTGAAAATTGCGTTGCGGGTTTACCAAGAAGGTTCTACGCCGAGATCATCGGCGCCTGCCGTTTACCTCGAACGTGTGCTTGCAGATCTCCCTGGTCAAGATCGCCGCGACTCTGCCGACATTCTCGTCCGGATGTGCCATGTGCACTAAGATGTCTGGAAAGATGTCTGCCTCGACCACAGCCTCTGCTAAACCCGCCGAGTGCTTAGCTATGCTGCTCAGCGCTAACAACGCTTGTCGCTGCGGACATTATAATATATTATAGTCCAGTGTTAATATTCAGAGTGTTTAACACGCGCTTGTCAAATCACCTTCGCCTTGGCATCGAGGCTGGCCAGGGTCTTCGCGAGGAAGAAGATCGCACCGGTGTCCACCACTGCCTGCGCGAGTTCGATGCTGTGTTTACTTATGTCACTGATAGCCGACGCGGCGACTTGTTTAATATACAATTCAGGCTCTTGCAGACACAATACGAGAAGGGGCACCGCGCCTGGCAAGGATTACAATACGATTAAACAGCAAAGGGGCATCGTCATCAAACAAGTGTTTCACTTGTCGGATACTACTTTATCGGAAGAAATACGATATTTGAGACAATTTTACTGGCATCCACCGCCGCCTGAGCCAAGTTCTTGTTATGCCTCGCGATATATCCCAGTGCCCAAGCGGCCGCTTCCTTCACCCCAGGGTCGAAGTCCTCCAGGCATCTGACTATGGTCTGCAGGCCGTCGTTGTGCACCACAATTAACGCCAGTTCCGGCGAGTGCTTGGCTATCGCTCGCAGGACCAACAGCGCCGCTTTCTTATAAAATTTCTGCGACAATGCATCTCTCTTAAGAGCACACCTCTACGATAAGCGCGCAAAGGATTCACGGGTCGCAAGCTACGATCGAAGTTCCCCCGAAACTGGGGGACACGGCGTCTCGAATTAATTCTCTAACACGGTCGAAGTGCTTACATTTAAGGAGCCCGTACATTTTGTTTGTCCATGTTCCTCAGTAGGTGCGCCAGCACGTCCTTTCGCACGACGGCGTGCGCCAGTCTGGGATTGTGATTCGCCAGCCTGCCCAGAGCGATCGCCGCCACGTGCTGGATGGACGGCACGGGGTCCGCCAGCAACGGGCGTAGAAAGTCTATCCCACCCGCCGCCTCCAGGCAGTCGATGTTGTTCGGCTTCGAGGACAGATCCGCGACGGACTGCACGAAGAGCAACCGCGCCTTCTGATACTGATCGAACACTGAAGAAAGGATAAGAAGAATGTTAGTGTAACATATAGATATAACAATATAAACGTATTTTAATATATCTTTTAAATGCACTGTTGCTCTAGCAATATGAAATAATGCGGAATGCAATAGCGAATAAGCGTGTACATTTACTGTAACTTTCCACGCGCAGAGACGTTCATGTACGTCGACTGAACGTAACGGGCGACTAACGAGAGGTGTACCTTGTAAGATTGTGCGTGCCGTCATATCGGTTTACCAGAAGATCTACAGACGTTGCGTCTAAGCATCAATCGCCGTCATTGCCGTCCAACGTACGATTCTGTCGCGGAACGGCTCTTGACAGCTCGCGACGAGGTCGTCATCTGTTCGGGAAGAAAAAAACAAAAACCGAGAAACTGCCGCTTACAGGTGGATCTGGACGGGTACGCCTGGGAATTGCTAAAATCAACCTTCTTACGTTCTTGGATAAAAATTAGCTTGCTTCTCGCGCCCTTTGAACCGCGCGAGAGGTAATTTTTCACCCGTTCAAATGTCGAGGACGCGATCCTCTCGCGCGCGCGCGTGGCAGTCGGAATCGCGCAGGTACAAATAATACTTTTCAAGCGCGCCGATTGGCCGCGAAATGGTAAGTTCCTGGAGACTCCGGGACCTCTCTAGCCGCGCGGCCAATCAGCGCGAGGGGTTTGCCGTGCGAACGAATGGAACTGCGGCAAATCCAGCTGGCAATGCTGGCATGGACGTGTCGTCGGCGAGCTGTCGGATCTCTACGCGCGGTCCCTTCTTTCCGGATCTCTGAGGAATCTGCGCGCGACCACGTCCGACGCGTGCGACCGCGAATGAGAGCGAAGGGGGAGTGAGACGGTGAAGATGATGACCGATGTCGGGGAGGCCGGAGCGGCGGAGATTCAATTGAAGCCCGAGAGGTAACCTCGTCCACCAGTCGTTGCTTCACTCTCGAACGAGTGCTCTCTGAATCCCTGTGGTCAATTCTTACTCCTGAGACTCTGAGGTCAAGAGGACCGGAAGATCGGTCGATGGCACGTTAAATACCTTCAAAAAGAAAAAGATAATTTCATTCTCCGAGATATTGCGTTGCGCCAAGTGCTCTAGGGCCTGAGCAGATTGGCTGTCTTATATCCTTAAGACAGCCTTAAGACAATGTTTTACGTTTTAAGCCTTAGCCTGATGGCAGAGAACAACGTTTCAAGGCAGAGAGAAACGTAAGTCGTGAAAGGCTATTGTATACGACTTACGTTTCTCTCTGCCTTGCCCTACGTCTACGACTGAGACAGTCTTATGTTTACGGATTGTTCTCTGCCATCAGCCTTAGTCTTGAGCAGTGAACTCTATACATACTGGAATGAGTGATCTATTGTTCTGGCTGTTGCCGAGAGAGAGGTGCGTTTGGGTGAATCCTTGTCTCCTTCTAGTACTACCTGATTGGATAGTCGCATATAAATGACGAGAAGAAGGGCGTCACTTATATGCGATTATCCAATCAGGTAGTACTAGAAGGGTTCACCCAACAGACAAGGATTCACCCAACGCACCTCTCTCTCGGCAACAGCCAGAACTATAGATCACTCATTCCAGTATGTATAGAGTTCACTGGTCTTGAGATAATGCACAATAACTGTCTTACGTCTTAAGAGTACAGGACAGCCATTCTGCTCAGGCCCTTGTTCTGTATCGAGGCGATACTCTGCTAATACAGTTGCGTCATGAAGAAGCTGTTGCTGGTAGTGACAAGAAGTCAATTATGTACATTTATTACAATATACGTATGATTTCCTGATACTCTAGATTACAACGCAAGGAAAATCTGCGCTAATACTTGTATAATTTTCTGCTTATTGTGTTTGAGACTTGAAATTACGTCGTTTATTGATAAATCCATACATTACATGATAATACAACAGAGATTTGTAACATAAGTATATTTTTGAATTATATAATGCAAAATGCGCGAAAGTATGCAATTTAAGGGTGTTATTTGATAGCGAGGATACAGTGGATTTCTCGGAAGCTGTAGAAAAGCTCGCGGAAGGTCTCTTGAGTATTTATCAACCTCCGCTGGAGCAGGTTAAGCAGGAACTTTCCGAGCTGACGTAAGTATATAGATCAGCGATGCACACGATAGGAATTTCACTTTGGCCATTTGCGTTATATATCATTTTTCTTACAGAAGCAAACAGGATGCCCTGCTTGTTCGAATGCAGCTTGAGAATAAAAAGATAAACGAGACATTCGAAGATATAGATTTAAATGATATGGTAAGAGACCCTTTCGTTCTCGTAGTACAGATTGTACAGATTGAGTATCCCTGATCCCAAAAATGCCTCGAGTCAGGGACGCTTCAGTCCCCGAGTATTGTTGGAAGTATATGGTGGGATCGGAATGAGACAAAAGTAAAGATCGAACAAAGAAATTTGTTTCAACATTCGCCGAGAAAGGGAGCGCGATGTTCTCTGCTTTCAAAAGAATATAAGTGCGACCAAAAATTAAGCAAAGCTTAAGGTGGAGAGGCCGTATCATTAACGTTATTATCTTAAGGGAGAAAATATCAAAAAGACTCGAGGAAGCAACTGAAGATGAGGGACCATTGTACTGAAAAATCTCTTGTTCGTATCCACAGGGCTATTGAGTTTTTATCCTTTTTAACAATATCTTCCAAACAAACAGCAGAAAATAAACGAGACAAACAGTGGGTAATGGATACAGATAGTTACTGATGATGGTGGACACTTTATCAGTATAAACATGATGCATCTGCGTTTTTTAATTTTGGAAACTTTGGATTGGGAATACTCAATCTGCCATGTGCTTGGAATATTAATATTTCTGTCTTGTAGCAGAAAAATTGCATAAAAATTTTATATTTTAGTTTTCAGCTGTTAAAATTTATCAGGGAAAGTTAGCAGTGATAAGGAAAGAAATGATTAATGTTCACGAAAGGACTTCTAAACTAAAGGTGAATTGTACAACTGATTTCTAAGATGTGTGTACTAATAGAGGTATTTTCGTTTATATGTATATAACATAAGACTTGTTACAGAAACGCGTGTTGCGTTTGCAACAGATTAAGCAAAAGGAAGCGATGAATAGAGAGCAACAACGTGAACAAGAGTTGCGCAGGGAACAGGAATTAATTGGCAAATCTACAATCAATTGAGCATGTATAAATCGTAATAAATTAATATAAATTATTTACATAAGAGAAATGTATGCATATGAGGAAAGACCCTATATAAGAGAAGTATATAAGAAATCATGTATTCATACAATTGTTGTTTATAATAAAATGTATGTTAAAATTATGAGATCATCACTTCTTTGATCAGCCACAATGAGTGCTTTCCTTTTAAGCAAGTGGAATAAATTTTAAAGCCAAGTAAATGTTTCATCATACGTTTATTATATGTTAACTTAATATTGATATTATATTGATAATTTTTAATTAAAAAGTGACAAATGTTTATTGATTGACATCTCAACACTAAATATTACAAAACAAATTGCGCCATTTTAGTTAAACTTGAAGATCAAGTTTTTACCTTTTTCTCTTAACTAATTTAGATCAATAATTAGACTTAGAAAATTGAAGGAACCAAGTTTTTTTTTTAACAATTTGGCATCGCACATAAACACTGACTACATTTAAATGACAGGATATCGGTGATTCTCTTAACGTTCTTTTCAAACATTACCTTGGGCACACCAACATTCCCGCGCTTAGTAAGATTCAAAATCATGCAGGGTATCAGATATACTGACAAATTAGGAGATTTATCAATTAGAAATTTCTAAAAAAAAATTTACATATAAGATATACGTGTTACAGTATGCATTAGGAGAAAAATATTCAAGCTTAACAGGCCGCATTTATGATAACAATAAATTTTCAGAACAAGAATTTGATTTCCAGTGAATCTTACATATGCATGCGTGTAAAGAGATGTAAGAATGTTGCTACCTTGAAAAATTGCTGACATTCGCGCAACGTTAACTTGTGTAATTCTTCTATTTCCAAATCGATTCGTCCGAAGATATATTGGTCTTTCAAAATTTCATTCCAGAGTACTTCGGACTGCTCCAGCATTGTCTTCGGTTTTTTGTCGCGACGGACTTGAATCATGAGCTCCTTGATTGCCTTAAACATCTCTTCGGACATATTGTTTATGTGCTCCTAAGATGTAAATACAATGTCGTTACAATGTTAATAATATTCTCGCAAAATCGTTTAATTTTCATGTCGCTCTTGTATCTAGCGCGCGCGTGTGTGTGTGCATGCATGCCTGCGCTTTTTAAATTACATAGCGTATACTAAACAGGATATCGCGGAATTCGCGCATGTACACAGGGTGCATAGAATATGATTTTTATGTCATAAAAAGAAAAACCTGAGACAAAATTGCAGCAGTTTGTAAATGAGAACAATTTGAAACAAACAAATGAGTGTTTTACATACGAATCGAGGGGATGTGTATTATAACATAGGCTGTTGCAGATTGGCAGCAAAAGTTACAGAGGACTCGATCACTTTATTTGGTTTCTGGCCAACGTGCCATCGTGTTTCATTCGTAAGTTTCATTAGCAGTGAAATTAATAATTAGTAACATGAACGTAGTTGATATCAGTCCGCTGTAACTTCCGTTCGAATCTGCTGTAACGAATCGCTGAGAATTTGCTTATCGAGCACTTACCATAACAGTCAACAAAAATTCTTGAATATATTTGTCTACGTTCGACTTTGTGTATTGCACCATAATTACCAAGCCTTGCGTTCCGACCGATCTGTAGACATCAACGCACGGTGCGTAGATCAGCGATGTCTTCTCTTTAAATATAGTGTAATTAATTTGATTAATTACTTCTCCTATAAAATCTAAGATCACATCCCATTGTATCGTTTTCCTATCAATTTGACAAAATACCAGCATACACGAATCCAGGCTGACCTTGTTCCCCTTGCAAAAGACGTAATAATGTTCTGAAAAAAAATTAATCGTAACATACATATTAGACGATAACATCATAACTACCATATTCACATAACTGTAAATTAGGCGTAAAAGTTAATCATTATAAAATGGACAATATCAACCCGTTTCCGAATAAGTTTTATTATAGATATGCATTTATTCAAATGTAGTCAAATTTGTCGAAAACAGATCTCGCAAGTGTTCCCTAGTAGCACAGTGCATTTGCCAAGCATTGGTTAAACATTTGCCCAATATCCGGCCAATGTTTAGCCACTGCACTGTGCTACTAGGGTTGCGATCTCTGTCGCAAATTTCGTTGTCAGAATGCCATCAGAACTATAACTAAAATTTGGAGTAACAGAATGAGAGCTCGATAAAAAATATTTTATATAAAAATATATTCGTGTTTTCTTTCTCTTACATCATATCCACTCGTATACGGAAAACTAATAAGCAGAATAATTGAAAAATTATTTGAAAAATAACTTTTGCATTGTTTTTTTATTATAAAATTGCGATTGAGCTTCACGCGGACGTAAATTAATGTCGCTCTATCGCAATATTCAGCTCAAATCTGCTACAAATTGCTTGTACATTACATTTTGTCTATTAAATTAGGCACTCATGTTTTAGTGATGATTCGAAACTATCGATTCCTTTACGTATCATTTTTCGTCAAAAGATAGATGCAAGAGAGCAAAAATGATGTTCTCTTCAATATGAAATAGAATTACATTTACTATTATTACAAGTAGTCAGAGAAATGCTCTTATTACACATTATCTCTTTTCAATTTATAATCTCCAATCGTCAGTTAAAACATTCAACATTTTCTAAGCGTGTTAATAATCAAGACTGTCATAACTAAGTTACGATCCTATAACATCGATTCCCGATATTAATTTGTAGCTTTAATATCCATTTCTATGCATTACTATGTGGAATTTCATCAAAATTGTAATGCCTTTCGAATTTTGCTACGTAATAACAAGAGAACACGATAAACGAAACTAAATATATCGACAATCGATGTGGTTCTAGTTATAAATTAGTTATTGTTATTCGTTCTAAATTAGTTGTATATTTGTTACTTACTATTATCCACTAGAATACTACGATCATATTTTCTTATGGGCTTGAATGATTTGGACACATTGGATAACTTGTTCTCGATCATATCAGCTACAGTTTGAGCATCTGCTTCGGTAACATTACCGTATATTAAACCATCCACGTATATCGCGTATAAGAAATCCGATACAAATTCACAAAAACTTTCGATAGTTACATCTGCGTAACAGTCATAAAGGTGTCATAAAGATTTTACATATTTACGAAACATTTACTCATCATTAATCAGAGTATATTATTGTAATGTGTAATCATTAAAATCACTAAGCATATTATTCAATTATTATATTTTATCTATCCGCATTTAATTACTTAAATAATTAGGTATTGTAAAGAGAATCAGAACTGTTGAAAATTGCATAAAACTTAAAACACAAGCTCTCATAGAAATGTCTTTCTGCGAATTAAAAAAAAAATTTTTCACTGGTTAATTTTTCAGAACGTTTATAACAAAATTCAGTGATTCTTTTTAATGAATTCCAGGAGGGGGGGTGATGCTGCATATCAATTATTAACGAAAATAATTATTAAAAATGTTAAGCATTGAATAAATTTATGTTTAATGTATAAAAAATGTCATACTAAAAGTCAGAGATTTGAAAAATATGACCATATGCTTTTCGTGCAACGTTAAAATTTGCACTGCAGTAGACCAGTAGTATAAATCGATATTAAAATGTGTAGTTAATCAAAATTTATTTACATAGGACAACAAAAACTCAGCGTAAAATGGACTTCTTTTATGTCGCATCTGTTAATACATTAATTGGCTTCATATACTTCGTTATACCAAATTTACATAGATAATTATGATAAAATTTGTACTGTGACATAAAAGTGACTACAAATTTTGAACTTTTGTTGTAAATGTTCTCATGTTGATGTTATTTGTAACAACTTGTAAAAAGTGCTTGTACTTTAAATTTTGTTACATTTCTAATTCTTCTTAATTACTTTTATGTTGCTCATAAATGAAGTAATGCAATCAAATGTTTAAAAAAAAGTTACAAGAGAAAGCATTTTTCTTAAACAGAAGATTATTATCATTATAAGTACAACGTCTTTTTTATTAAAGAAAAATGTATGTATGGTATTAATCAATCTTCTTTTCTGTACTTACCAGAACTTGATTTTAATATATCTTCCCTCTGCCACATGTTATTGCTTAATATAACCGAAAGATAATGTTGTACCTGTCGATGAGGCGAACTTTCTTGGAATTCTTGAAGTTCCTTCTTGTTGATATCTATATTCTGTAAGCGAACAAAATTAATATTAGTAAAGCTGCGATTTAATTTAAACAAAAACTTTGATATCTATTGTACGTACATTTTGCCTATGGGCTTCAAATTTGTTTATTTCTACTTCGAAGTTTATTATTTGGTCGAATATCTTTTCCACCAGGTTGGGCAGTTTATTGTCAAAACCATGTATCTTAAGCTGCAGAAAGAATCCATATCTTAAGTAAATTCTCTATTTATACAACATATGTATACATACGTACATAATACACTAGGTATCTGGTAATTGCCACTTTTTAAGTGTAGATCTGGTTAAACCGAATAGAAAATTCCTATATCGTTATACGGTTTCAATAATTAAAGAAAATATACTCGCGCGAAGAACTGGACGAAACCATCGAGTAATAGACGACAAATGAGAAAAGAAGTTTTGGTCGCGAATGTAAGAGAGCTCTTTATTTGAATAAACAATTCTGCATGAGAATAGGAAAACTGTATTCAAGTAAAATCTAAGAAATGCAGAGTTTATCAGCACAATGTACATTTGAGTGCACGATGAAATAACACATTGCGACGTTCAAATTTACATTGTCTATAATCTTATAGAAAGTAAAAAGAACTACATTTCTACTATACAAATTTACTGAGATTTGCTTTACACAATTTTACATAACTTATAAGACATTTAATGTAATTTTGTTTCTTGTACAATTTCTTTCTCTATTGATATATGCAACTATATACCCAATTTTGTTTAATTATATAGTCGTATATACGATATCTAATAACTCTTATAATACATAGATATCATTATTATCGTCTTTACGATCGGCACTCACTTGTATTCCTTTGTTGGTGGTAGAAAACTCCCAGTGCAAACCAACTAAAGCAGCGGCGTATGCACACTCACTGAGAGATTCATTAATAATCCGGATAAACATCAATGCGAGATTAGCGTTTATGGTATCCACATAGACAACTGGACTGTAAAAATGCAATTACGATAATATGACATAATGTGACATTGTTCAACTGCCAGAAGAATAATTGTTACTTAAGCTTAGCGTACTTGATAAAATGAAATATCATAGTAGCCTTTGGCTCCTTGAACTCGTCATCTTTCTTGTGCCAAAATGTTAATAACTTCGTTTTTTTGATGATTCTGATATGCTTTTCTGCCTGTAAAAATCCTGCTATTAATATGCGCGTTGTAGAAATATTGCATGCGAGTAATATCTCGTTATACAGGCAAGAAATTATATTCAGCGAAAATAAGTTGAAAATGTAGAATTAATCTTTTTCTAGCACGACACGCTAAAAATTAAATGACCCGAACAATTGGCAAAAGAAGCAATTAAAGATAATCGACTGAGAGATTTATTTAGAGATTCTTTCCGAGTGGAAATTTTATATTTTTCAGTTTAATATTCTGATGAATGCTGTAAAATAGTAGAAAAAATGTTCCGCCCAAGTTTAGCAAACTGAAGCTATTGTCGATTTGATTAATATTCCTGTTTTCGAAGTAAATTTTCTCGGAAAAGCTAAACAATACCAAAATACTGCGTGCGATTGAAATCCCGTGATATAATCAGAAGAGAAATATGAATTTTGCGTTGGTAGCTCGTTTTTCTGTCAAAAATCGTCTACTTTTTTTCCTGTATCACATTTAGAAACGTACTGTGTGAAACTGTGTGAATTAATCCGCACACACTGACTCATTCTGTAACATATCCAGCTACTATGTTGAATATGTAAAAATAAAATATATGTGAAATATTTTATTTTTACATATTCCCGTGCTTTACTATTCGGCGTATCTCAATAGTATCACAATACATCAATTTTCATTAAATTTTCGAGAGGCTTTATATCACGCTTGGCCGATATTAATGATAGCGAGAATCGTTTTCAATTACCTCATCTGTTTCCTTTATGTTAATATCCGTCGGTATAAATTCATTGCAAGATGGAAATTTAAATATTTTTGAAAGGGTATTATTATCCTCAATCCATCTGGCGTACGTTTTTGACGGTACCCTCTCTATCTTGTATTCATAGTAGTCACATGACTTGTCTGTGAGAGTCTTGTACTTCTGCGAAGCGACATATATGCTCAAACGTAGTGGTGGTAAGAAAGGTTCGAATACACATTGCATGGCTTCTATGTGCCATTTGAGGGGGATAGGTTTTTCGCGTAGGACATGCTTCTTCGGCCGTCCGCACATTATCTGATGGGCGTAAAGCCTCACATATTTAGGAAATAACTTTTTCTCTTCGAAGTATAACTGTAGCTCCTGTATCTTCTTATATTCCTGTAAAGTTATAATACCTCAGATGCGCACAATTTCAGACGTTACGCATAACAGTGGAAAATATTGTTCGCACAAGAAAGATATGCAATACAATCAACGATCCTTATGAAGTGAAATGAACAAATGAGAAAAAGATGAATTTCTTCCTCGATTAATCGCCAAATCTAATGAAACAATTTGAAATTTTAATCTGTTTCATGGCACGTTACCGCGCTCACCCGAATTTGTCTCTCTTTTTCACTCCATTTAATCATTTCTCCACGAGTAATCATTGCATCGGTTACGGTGGCATAATTTATAATAGATTTAAAATAGACGACATCTCATCAATGTCACGTACGTTGACAATTCGTTTGTAGTCGTTATTTTCCTTTCTTAGCATATGAACGTATTCAAAGAACAATGTCACAACTTCGTCGACGTGATCGAGACCTTTCTCAGTTAGATCGATAGTGACAAGGAAGACGCGATGTATTTCGGTGAGTAGTCCAGCCCCAATAGAAGTGGCCCAGCCTTTGGCTTTCAAAACCGATAATAATGATTTTTCTCCGTTATATTTTAACAAATAGGCGAAAATATCGGGCTACGACAAAAAGAGAAACAAGATACGTAAAATCGAGACGTACGACTAAAATTACAATTACATAATATTGTATATAACATCAATGGTAATTTAACGATAAAAGTGTATGATGATATGCTGAAATATAATATTCACAATGTTGAAGAGGGAATCAATTATCTTACCACATTGGGTATTCTTGTATTATAGTATACGGGATGGGCTACCAAGTGTAGCTGATTACAATCTTTGTTTGGAACGTAATATATTTTATGCACAAACGATGGTGGAGCCATTGTTACTTGTGGGAAAATTTCCGAATCAGGTATGGTCCGTTCCCTCACTGGACTGAAGAATTCCACTACCATCTCTTTGAGTTCATCTAAGCTCTCTAAATATGAAACGTACTCTTTAGCATGGAACAGGCTTTACATTAATTTATTATGATCAAAATTAATTAATTGTTTGCATAAAGTGCTATTATAGGCCATTGGTTTAAGTTATAAAGTATTGAAGGTAAAAAAACCCGTTGAGAAATAAATTTCCGAATCACAAATGAAAAGAGATATTGTATTTCTCATTAAATTTCAAACAAAACGTAACTTAATAGATGTCTATGTTGAGGTTTTTTTTCAGAAAATAATTTATAATCGAAAATTCAAAAATTTGTAATAAAAATGTCTGATACGTGGAGAAAAATTGACGTTGAATTATACACCGAGACAAATGCCCGATTAAATACAATCGGGTAATCCAATTACATAATAACAAATGGATATATCATTGGATAAATCTCATCGGATGTAACCGTAATTTAATCGGAAGAATTAACCATCGGAAACACTATTTAATTGGTTTATTCGATGTTTTTTCTCAGTGTACGTATTGAGTAAAATATACTTGTATTCGTAAATACCTTCGCAAATGGATAATATTGATTAAGTAATTTTACTTCGTTTCTTATTAATGATAAAATACTCGTAGATAAATCTAAAATTTATTAGCGAGGTAACTGTTTAGTACATAATGTTCATTAGTGAGGTAACCGTTTAATATAGAAATGACCTTGTATTCCTCCGGATATCAACATACACATTTACCAAGATGCGTGTAATCTATTAATGTTTGTTAATATTATACACCATTTACGATAACACGAAATTACCGTTATTAGTATTATTAATTTTATCATTAAGTAGCATTGTAATTATTCAATTTTGAAAACTGAAACTTTTAGAAACCAAGAAGACTCAAGACAGCAAAATGATATATAATTGTCTTAAAATCTCATAAATAAATACAGTTAACAAAGTACAGATAGATCATTTTATATTATATTAATTATGTATTTGAGAATAATTATTTATTCGATTCACATTCGGATACTGTAAATTGAAAACGAAATGTAGGTGAAAAGTAAGAATTTGGAGTATCCTATACTTGTTAGTCGAAATGATCATTATACCTTTGCCAAGGACGCACAGAGTCATGTCCTCAGAATAATAATAATCTTTATAAAACTTTTCCAACATCTTTGTGTCAATCGCAGGTTCCTCTGTCAACGACTTTTCTGGCTCGTATTCACGCCACTTGTCGCTCGCTTTACTCTCATGGTTAAATCTTATGTACTTAATAAATTTAGGCAACTTCCACTCATCGTGTAATTTATTCGTTTCTTCGATCTTGAGTATAACATTATATTCGCTTTCAATTGTGAGGTGGCTGCAAGAAGGTGCTTGTTCACAAAAAAATTTAGCGAAATAACCCAAAGCGTCTTTCAAGTGGCTCGAATTTATATTGAAGTAATAATCGGCGCAACTTGTCCGCGTTTCGGCGTCGACCTCGCCATTGTGTCTTTTCACGAAGTTATTGAAAGATTTCGGTTGCGGTTGTCTGTCTGACAGATAGAGTATACGCTGAAACAGGCGCGCCAATCCTGCTGGATGACCCATCTTGATCTCGATCGCAGAACCTGCCGTAAAATCACACGTTACTTGCATGTCAAATAATCACATAACGCAAAAACGCCAATTGAAATATATTTAATCTGTATATCGGCATTATGTTAGATCGATGATCTTTGAAATTGTCATATTTACTTACTCTGCTTTGTATGCATATTCATTATTTATTTAGCTCAAGGTAGTTATTTCGTAAAATTATTTATGTGAGAATTGTTTCAAATTTTTACAGTTTATTCGTTACATTTTTTAATACGCGCAAAATAAGACTAATTAAATTAAAATTGCCAGTCCCAAAGTTCTAAAAAGAAAAATGCTAAAGTTTGCTATGTTACACGAAATATTACGTGTAAAACACGTTAAAAATATTATTACACGTAACATATAGTTCGTAGTAATATTATTACACGTGAAGCATTAGTTACACATATTATTATGTGTTAAAATATTGTTGCTTATACTTCGCTTATAATTACTTGGCGCGAGACACTACCGTGTCTCGTGATTAATATTTGGGTTTGCAAACGCAAACGATGGCGCAGTATATTATTTTTAAACTTAACGGTGAGTAAGCTTCGTATGAGAAACAAATATATTATAAAGCAAAATAGAGCGAATAACTGGGGGAAAAAAAATCAAAATTATCGATCGTTCCGTTTCAACGATATAAATAGTTAAAGCTGAAAAACGGGAAGAATTATGTAGTAGACATGAGTCTAGTGTAAAGCCACGTCTACACGACAAAAGGCGTAAGGCACGGGGCAAGAGCGTAGGCACAGGCGTTGGAAATAAAATTGTTTTACTTTGTTTGCGCCGCTGCGCCACGACCCTACGATCGGGAACAATTCTCCTGCGCCTGAGCCTTACGCCTTGTCGTATGGACGAGCCAAAGATACCCATACACATTCCAGAAATTCTCTGAGGAAAAACTGTGCAGTTCTTTTTTCCCTCTTCTCTTTTCTTCTCATGCAGAAAACTTTTCTACTACACACGCTCCAGGACTGCACAGTCGCCTCAAACTATAATCTTTCGAATCTATTTTATATTATGTATAAAGGTCGATTCAGACTATATGACACGGACCGTCACGTTCCGGCAACGACACGGACCGGCACCGACACGACAAAATATTGAAACATGCGTTTTAAATGAGACTGTCTACACTAACCGACATTGACGGAACATGCAGGTCAATTATTACAATATAATTGTAATAATTGAGTGCTGGTTTCTCTATATAGAAGAAACTTTTGAGCATCGCTGTCGCGAAACAACTACTTTAATACTTTCATGTGTACAGAGGACGGGAAGAATCGATTTATGCAGGAAATAAATTATTCGAAATAGAAGTGTAATCGCAATTAGCGGATACATTGAGGTATTTATGAAAAAGATGGAATTGCGGGGAAATAAAGCATATAAATAAATAAAAGTATTGTTAAGAGGTGCACAAAGTTTCTCTCTTTTCCATTTCTCTATAGCTTTACTTTGAAAAGAATTGGGTTTTTCGTTGAAGTTTCAGAACTATCCACGTAGATATGAAATGACGCAATAATAATATAATAAATTACCGATATTGATATTCAACGCTGCGGCTGCAATCTCGACCTCTGGATCGTGTATTAGAACCACATTCATTTCATTGGCGAGCCTTAATCCTTGATAGAGTCTCTTATCATTTTCCGGCCTCCATATCTCCTGCTCTTCTACGTTGTTTTCCATGATGTTTTCCATGATGAACTAGGTATGGCGTATGCTGTGGTATCGGGAAACAGAATGACTCGAGTTTATCGTAGAGCGAACACTGAGATTTTAGGGTTGACTTGCCAGTCTATTTACACGTGGAAGAATGTAGGTAAACACGCAGGTCTAAATCCCACGTATAAGGACTCAGAAAATACGGAACGTTATCTTTTAAAATTGAACAAACGCATTGAAGCGCGCGGAAAACTCTTCTCGACCGACTATCGTATGTGTACGTATACGAGTCACAGATATAGAATATATAGATATGCTATGCCTTTATCTATGCCTATACTATGGCTACGTTCCGAAACGGGGAAAAGTTTTCCTGCGACATGGGTCGGAAGCAATTGGAAACGCTCGAAAAGGTTTTCGATTGGCCATCGAGTAAAGTTTTCTTCGGAGAAGAAAGATTTGGAACGTAAGCTATACGTCGAATCTATGGCTCGAGCAATTCATCGGTAAAACATCTACAATTATATTATTCCAAACAGTACAGGTAATCGTTATGAACTCAAAAAGAATTCCATAAGTACACCATTTGATTTCTTACGAAAATAAATTTAAATTGTTTCAAATATACAAGGAATTTATTTTGTATCCGAAGGAGAGCTCAGAATTGGTGACATAAAAACAGATTCTTTTTAAACTCTCGAGAATATTTTTAAAACAGAAGTGGCCACTTCAGAACTTCGGGAACTCAAAAAAATTTCCTCTTGGAACTGAGATACCGTTGAAATATTGAAAACCCTTTCAGGCAATATTTCAACCGCAGTTCAGGAAAGATATTATGTTAGCTAAATGATAATAGAGTTGGCTAAATGTCACTGGAAACGGATTAGTGTTTCATATGAACAATAAACGTATTAGTTGACACAAACTGGAAAAGAGCATTATACAATACATATATGACGTAATAAACACGAGCGAATATAACACTTTCAGTTTTATTTTATTTTTCAAAATAATCTTTTGTACAATCTTCAATATATCTCGACGTATTGATCAAAAATCCAACTACGTCAATCCCACTACTTGTAAACTTGGTTTGAAATAGACAAAGGAAAGGAGGACAAATAAAAAGATATTGCAAAAAACGTGAGGTTCTAATATCAAATAGCAATGAAAACTACTTTAAAGCATTCTCCTAGATTATTTTTCGATCTTTGTGCACTTTGTTCTTGGCAAAAACCGAACTCGTTTTTATAATCCTTTCAAACTCTCTAGAGAAGAATGGAATGTAATTTGGTCGTTCTATTATAAAGAATTATAATTTAATAAAAAATGACGAGTAATTAAAATAACGAAAAAGGGGATTTTTAAAATTAGAATTAAAAGTTATAAAGAGCTTATTCAGCAGAAGAGTATCGATCAAGATTTATAACCATTCACATTTTTAAAATAATGAAAAATATGAACGATGTGAATATACATACATATATGAATAAATATCCAACGATGAGAGAGAAAAAGAACATAAAGATAAGTAATATTGCTCCATGATTTTGCAGTATTCCCTCTTCCCCTTAAGTCTATTGCAAAATCGATTAGTCCAATTTTTATTGAGATCTGAGGTACTATTGATTAGATCGCTTATTAAATACACAGTACGTCTTGCTATTTGCTGCGAGACACGATGTGTCTCTTGACAATTCATACTAGTCTGTTAACATGAACTGAGATAAAACATGTTCACTAATCGCACGATACACCAAACGAAATTTCGCATTTTTATCGTAAGGTAGTAAAAATTAGACTTGTTTCGCGTAACGTGCGACTGATGATTATATCGTTCTAAATTATCATTGACAAATCGCATATAAATACAATTATGAATAATATAAATACGATATAAGTACAATATGCAGTATAAGTACAATTGCGGGCCTGCGCACGTGAGCTCTATGTGACATTATTAATCAACCCTGATAGCTTACAAATCCAAACTGTCGTGACTTCGACGTTTTTATATTAGGATTCTCGAATCTATAACTCCATACGCTATTGAAATATTATCCGGTAATCGTAAAACGTATACATATATAAACATATGTATGTCGGACAAAATTAAATATTTATAAAATTTAAGAAAGGTATCGCTTGCTAGGAAAATAAGAGGCATCGCTTATTCTTACGAATTAATTGTTTGGAAAAAAGTGTGAAACAAATTATTTACTTGTGCATATGAATAAAATAATTAAGGAATCATTGTTACACATGTAATATCGGGAGGACAACAGAAATGCAACTTTGGATATTGTATTACATACTCGGTAAAAAATTTTTCATAAACGTATACAATTATATATGTATAAAACATGTCCATATGTATTTTTTCTTTTGCATAATCTCTGTTTGCATATACTAGAAAAATCATAAGAAAATAATTAAAAATTAATTATCGCATTGCGTTTTCATAAAAAGTTTAGGGAAATGAGGAAAATATACCCATATGAAATCATATACATATACATATAGTAACAGTATATGAAATATACGTGACTATAAGTGGTAAAATAAAAACGTCTCGTTGAATCGTATTCCAATTTGTCATGTCTTCAGATGGCAATAAAATATCAGCTTTCAAAAACTAACATAACGAAAATGGCACGTAATTCAAATCTTACACTTCTTATTCAGATATTCTTTGTACAATTATATATAAAACATTGCACAATCTAATTGCCATTTTACTTTATATGTAGAAGTCATTATTTTAATTATTTGATATTTTGTATTTATAATAATGATATTCTTATTTATAACATTTTTAAATAATTTTAATAATTATCCAATTATATTTCTTATTATTTTTCCAATATATAGATAGAAATTGTACAAGAGAAAGAAAATATACGGACATATTTTATATATAGCTGTGTATATTTATGTATATTTTATCTAAAAAAATTTTTTCAGGTATCCTTAATATTTTAAAATCGATGAAAAAAAATATTATCCGTGATATGTTTTCAATTACGACTTCACTTTTGGCCGTTTACAGCGGATGCGTGGACGGATTAACTGTTTAAGTCGTATCTTTCTTTTTAAGGCACGATGTATCGAAAGACATTACGATAGCTAATTATCAAAGTTATCGATGCAATTGAAAGTTCCAACACATAATCCGTATAGCCTTTCACGCAACGTTAACAATTGAAATTGTTCAACAACATTAAAAAAGATCAGTTGACATTACGTTCACATGTGAAGATTCTGCTGATAACCTTCGACCTCGTTGTACATTTTCCTGATGGGATCTTTTGGCAAATAGTTGTGTATCGCGGGTGCTATTTTATTGTTGCCGGATACAATGCCGTTGGCTAAATGCGCTACACCGTTCTGCAGCATATGCGCCGTTCCGTTCGCGATGCCGTTTTGATAAACATGACCGTTCTGTTGAATATGCTTCATATTGTTTAACATACCATTAGAGATGGTACCTACCCCTAAGAAGACGAGAAACGTCGAAATACATTATTAACAATCAACAAGATACAATCACGCGTTTCTTAATTATTGTTAGAGGAAAGTCCTCTAATATGAGATAGTAGGTTTTCACCGTCTAAATTCAACCACAAATCTTTTTTCGCGACGATTACACGATCCAATAATCAATTTTCCGCTAAACAGATTTCACTCCAAGGGCAATAAAATAAATTCATGGTGAAACCAACAAAACGATGCCTATTAATTTAGCAGAAACTCCGCTATATCATATTAGGAGCCTGTCTCACAAATAGGGAACTTTCCTCTATCATATTAATGTTGTTAAGTAATTGCTAGGTTTCGAAAAATTTGCGTGATCGCTCCTTCACTTGTTGAGTCTAATCCATTTACTGATTCTTTCTTATTTGTCTAGCAATAAAGAAATTTAGAGGACAACAATTAATCTTAAATTGAGAAACGCCTACTACAGTAGCGGGTCTTAAAAATGAAGAAAATTAATTTCACACCGAGCAAATACAACAATTATTTACCTTGAGCAACAATTCCGTTTTTTGTTGCATCGGCTATCTTTCCAACATGATTAGATACACCGTTGATTGTCGATTTGGCATTGCCATTAGGTATGGCACGTTCATTCGAGGCATGTATCCCGTTTGGGTGCCTCTTGATTGCGGGTGAATTCGAATCGCGTAGACTTCCTTCTTCTTTGCGTCGTGCTCGACGCATTAATTGATATAATGCAGCGGCAAAATCCTGCTGCACACTAGGCACATCCGTATCACCGTCCACCTATTTGAAAGATAACAACTGATTATTAACTGTGAGGGAAGAAATAAATTATACCTAAAAATAGAACCATTTCACAAACGTATATTATTTTTACTATGCAACCGTATCTTTGTATTCCCCTGGCGCCTCTATTCTAAACGATTTTATATCTTTATATTATAACAATCTTTAATAAATTTTCTACTAGTGCTAATTCAAAACTCATTTCAATTAGTCCGTGTTTCGTCGCAACCCAGTTATTTATTACGTACAATTGTTAATCGATTATCGCTGTCCAGCGTTTTCAACATTGGAAGGGACACCTCGCGAAAGAGCTCCAATCTTTTCCTAAATGCCGAAACACTGTCGTCCAGTCTTCCTCTCCCGAGTTGTAGTTTAGAACAGTCAAGCAGCACCAGCGGTGGTTCTTGCCCATACTATTAATAATATGTTGCAGCTCATCAATTTATTAAGCGATATTCATCAGGTGGACAAGAAGTTGCAGAATCAATCAAGCAAATTATGGCAGGCGTAATTTGTGACTGAAGCGCTACAATGCAACGCAGGCAATTCTACTTACCTTAGTCTGAAACTCCTGTACTTGATTCAAGTCCCTTGGATATCCGTCTATGACGATGCCATCCGAGTCTCGATTCAAAAGAATCTGTTGCTCTACAAGCTGCATCACGATATCATGGGGGACCATTTCGCCCGAAACAATTGCGTCGTTCACAATCATATTAGACGATGCCATCGTTCTCAACAATTCTCCAATACTTATATGCTGCCAACCTGGCATATTACTGACGGCTTCGGTGCAGAGAGCCGCCTTGTTACTTCCTGGTCCACCTAATATACACGACATTATATTACCCAAAATGTTGTGCAATGTAAATAAGTTTGTTCTCTTTCTTAGAGAGGGCAGTTGGCGAGATAAGAAAGAAAATACAGAAAATAATGGAACAATTTAATAGTTTTACTTTTTATAACTTAACGGTCTCAATTTGCACCAGATTTTTGTGAAATATAAATGCACAGAATGGTGAAAATGTTTCGGGACAGTTAAATATCTCGTAAACAACGCGTTCCTTTTTAATTATATGTATAAGTTGTAGAGAGTTTCAAGAGATCCGTTTAATTATGTTCCAGCGCGCTTGGCTTCCTGTGGTTTTGACGAATTGGTAAAGAATTTTAAACAGGAAGAAAAGTGTCTTAAAATCAAGCCAGGAAGACATTTCGAGGGTCGACGCTTGTTTTGAATCACTTTAAGTATCAGTACGCGTATCATGTGTGCAGGTGCATGCGTATTCGTTGAAATAAAATGTACCTATAACCCAAATAAATGCTGGCAATCCTTTTCTCGGTTTGTTAACGGTTTTCGGTGTGTTTTCTATCAATACTGGAGGTGGTATCCTATCATTTTCTACAACTTGTTGCGGTAACGGCGTACCCGTGATCGATTCTTTCCTCCTTTCCACTTCGACCTGAAATACGACATGGCGCAGTGCAGCGATGCGTTATCAAGGATTAAAAATTGCGATTGAAATTTTAATCTTACCTCGGCTTCTAAAGATTGCGGTATACCCTGAATTTCACCGCTTGACATCCCGAGAATTCTTAGGACGGCATCTCGAAAACTAACGTAGACCTCACTCGGATTGCGTTCACCATTTATCTGCATGATAGTACAATTTGAATTCAATTAGAAATCAATCAGTTCAATCAGTATTGAGATTATACGTAATTCAGTACGCGATTTATTTCGTAATTTTACGAACACACACACACACGTTAATTACCTCAAGTAACATTCCGCTTTGATCAAAATATTCCGCAACTGGCATCACATTCCTATAAAAATTGTGCAATTCCATTCTAGCTAATCCGATAATAACGTGGCCAAGTTGCGCACCGAAGTCAATCTGTCTCTCCAACACTTCCTGCCTCCACGACACGAGAATGACGCCGTTAACGATTTTTATCTACAACAAATATTACACGCATTTAGACTGTTGTCTTACCGACCCTCCATTGTCCGAATACTGGTCGCCGCTAAACCAAATTGGAGATGTAAACGTTCTGTGAAATAAATAAATATCTGTATTGAAAAAAGAGGAGTGAGACACTCACTTTTTCAGCGTACTCCACCACATCGCGCATATTTCGCGGATATCCGCTTACAAGAAAGACCTTGGCTCCCGGTGACATTTTCATCTCGAGCATAAGCACTTCTGTGACAGTTTTGCTACTAAGTTGCCCAAAATCTTGCATATCTACATAAAAAACAATTGAAATGTATGACACGTCGTAAGAAGATAAAAATTACTTGTTTACAAACGTTATTATTTAATTGCAGAAATAATTGAAATAGAATGTATATGTTTTTAGAAATCACACGAGTCGCAACTAAATCTGACTGCCGGTTTATATTACGTACACGTCGAATATTAAAATTTTATATATCTGTGCTTATAAAATAAGAAGAAAATACGAACCATTTCCCAGTGCGTACTGCTGAAGAAGATCCATCATGTTGATATGCGTTATACCTTTCTTCTCTTGTATCAAATTGTCGCAATATGTCACCTTGCCGCTACCGGGCCCTCCTACAAAATGATTTGTAGTACGCATTGAAAATCTTAATGTGCGATTTAATTCGAAACCTCGTGACAAATAATCAACACTAACCGAGTACGAATATAACGGGAATTTTGGGTATTTCAAATTTAACTGGGCCAACATTTTGTTTCGGGAAATGTCCATCCGGTGGAGTCGCCAAAAGGCCAGCCTCGCCTCGCCATCTTCCTGTAGCTCGAGCATCGTTTTCCTCGAACATCTGCGATCCATTTTGTTGATCTGAAACGCATTTACCACTTTATAACGTATTATGTTTGAACACACAAATAACGAATTTACCCGTTTGCGAATTAATTAAAGACCAAGAAGTCTAATTGTTAAATAAGTAAATAAATTTTGTTATCATTTTAACGAATATGTAAGCATAATTGTAAATGATGCATGTCGTTGACGGCTTTGTGTCATATATCAAGATCATGTCGATAGGCTATCGAGAAGGTTGTAAGGAGAATCAGAAATGTTGAAAATGTTGAGAATTATTTGTATAAAATTAAAATCATAAGCTCTTTTAATACTGTCAGCATGTGAACTTTTTACATCTCTTTATCGGTTAATTTTTTAGAAACATTTACAAGATTCAAGATTTTTTAATGGGTTTTTTAATAGCAAAAACTCGATGCAGCATTTGAATTGACAACGAAAATAAAATGTTAAAAGTGTTGAGCACTGAATAAATGTCATGCTAAAAGTATTTTCAAAGACTTGAAAAATATAAAAATGCAAAAAATATAAAGAATACAAAATATAAAAATGATCTTCGTATTGAAATAATCTTTGTGTTTATACATAACTTCAGCAAATTAAATAATCATAGATTGATTTATTAAATATAACGTTGTACTTTTTTAATTTAATTAATAGTCTACTAAAATGTATTCGACAACGCATAATATTATTTCAATCTGATTGTTTCAACATTAAAATGCATACATTATTAATTTTTATCCAAAAAAGTTTAATCTATTTTTTTATTAAATTTTAATCTTTATGAGAGATTATCTCATTCTTACTACATTTTATTGAACTCACTGTACAATATATTCACATCTACCTCGTCATGGTTGCGTGACGAAACCGAAGATTCTACGTAGAAGTCAAAAGCATTAAATATACATTATTTCATTGCTGTATTATTTATTACATGCAATGCATGTAATATCAAGTAATTGCTTTGATTTGAATCAAATGCCGGTGTTTACAATCTTCAATAATCGCATAATTGAGTATTTGTTTAATTTTCGTATAATTTTAGTATTTCTATCGGTACAAAAAGTGTGAAAAAGTTGTCGCGTACAAACGATAATATCATGTAATTTAACGACGCGGGCTAATGCCATCACTTATACACTATTATAATATAATTTTTGTGAGGACAGAACAACCATGTAGATATCTATGATGGATAACTCGAGGCTTTCCAACTCATTATGTTCAATCTGATCTTGTGCAAAATTCAAATTATAAGAGAATACTGAATCGATACTCGCTATACAAAATGCCAATAGAATTACAAATTTAGTGATAGAATTAAATTAATCATCTCAATCTTTATATCTATTAGTCTGGGAATCACAAAATAAAATTACGTTAAATTACAAGTGTTTCGGAGGCAAGTATATTTGAAACGTGTATTTTGGAGAAAAAGTTAAATTAACGCATGTTAAACATCATATTCATTAATATACAAAAGCACGCATAGTAACAAATAACAATCTCATTTGACACTTCAGTAAAAAAGATTGTTTAAAATATTACAATTTTATATTGTTTATCTTGATATTACATCGTGTTTTTAATAGAGCATCTCTTCTCCATTACAACATAGTAAGAGACAAATACAATTTTCTGCATTTTTGTAAAAGACAAACATAACGTTAAAGAAAACATTGACGATATTAAAAATTGTTTCTGACTGTCGATCGGCACTAACAGAATATTTTCTCAGAAATATAATTACTTTTATTATTCTTACAAGAAGTTAGACAAATAAAAAAATATTGATTTGATTGGAAAAAATATTTGTAATTAAGAATTTTTGATTAAAATAAAAAAATTATCATAATTTTCATGTTAATATTGCTTGTAAACTTCGATCGACATAAATATTTAAGACAGTTGATATTTAGAGTTAAAATTGAAATTACAAATTAATTAAATTGCCAATGAGTTTTGTAATATATAAGAAAGTGTGCCCCTTTATTTAAGCAACAATAGCAACAATAATATTAAATTGATATGTGTCCATCGATGTGAATCGCGTATATTTCATGGCATAAGTTTACTATGATGAAAAAAAAAACAACTTTTTACTTTACGACAATGTCACTTCTATAATATCGATCGCGATAATGCATTTGCGATAATCATAGACATCTTGTTACGCGTCTTGCATCGAGCGCGTTTGTTCTGTAGATATATCGCGAGAATTCAACGATTACTTGTGGCATAATGGAAGAAGTGGAATTAACTAGGTGCGCTAACCGTTGACTTGCATAGATAAACTGATCGTTCTCGTTGAAGGCGTGAAATCAGCATAGGACAATAGAGAGACAAATGCTTTCTTTCTGCGATTGCACCAGTTGATATGGAAAAGGTAAGAGCAGAAGCAGACGCCTTCTCTCCTAATGCGTATTATTCTCTAGCTTTTTCACGCTTACTAGTAATGCAATGCTACTGAGTGAGAGAACGATAATGAGTGAAAGAACAAATGAACATCGATTAATACAACTGTGACAAATTATTTGGAAAAAATTCACCTACAACAAAATACTGAAAATATAAAGAAACAGTACCAAATGTATTTTCCATTCTTAATTACGAGGCTTTTCGGTTAAATCTGTTAGCAACTTTTATGTGAAATTTTTGGGAAAGAATTAATTAACAAAAATAGTATTTCTACGTAAAACGCATACTCGAATAAAACACAAGAAAGACGACCAAATATATTGTCATGAAAAAGTAGTGAAATTGAAATGTTATTTCAAGTATATTCAGGACAATAGATATTATAATGTAGTGATGAAGTGATTTTTCATCAAGATTTGAAATAGGAAATCGTGGATACAGGCCTTAACAAAAAAATCTCAAGGAAGGGCCGTGAAAAAACTCGAGTTGCGTCAACGACAAACATTCGATTTACCAATGAAATTAAGGATCTACCATAAAAGAACCAGCACACCTGAGATATTCAAACATTCATCATGATACATTAAACAAAAGGTTGTATGTGTAAAACGTTATTTTACTTTATAATACTTTCCCAAATATTAAGAATTCCGAAAAATCTAACTGCATAATTTCCTTAATTATTTAGAAGTGCATTAGACATCTGAATATCGCTAGTACTGGTGCTGAATTGGCAAATATAAGATAACTGTCTTGTCTCTTTAGTCCAAAAATTTATGCAATAATAACAGTTTTGTCTGAATCTGTCACATAAGAATCAGTTCAAAATAAATATTATACCGATGATTTCACAAAATAGCAGACTTGTTTAATTCTTTAATGCAAACATTGACTCAACAACGTTTCATTCGCGCAAATCTATCTCTCACAATAGAAATTAAAGATAAACAGTAAAATTATTTATCACTAGCATGCCGCGCGGTCTCGCACGCGCGGCTCTCACACGCGTGATAAAAAAAACACGTAAGTTTTACGAATTATTAAGAAGAACCCTAAACCGTCGCCCCGAAATTTCTGAACAGGAATATCCTGCTTCTGATTGTGAGTGGCAACTTGTCTTTTGGTAATGCAGAGTGAATAGTTAAATTTGAAATCATTTTATTTGAGAATGTTTCTCATTTCTTTGCAGATGAGAAGAGAAACATTACAATTATTTGTTATGTTACATGCTTATAGAAAATTCTAAAATTTTAATAACACATGCTTCTAGCCAAGTAGCGATATTGTACCATTCAACTTGGAACAAATTTAAGAACTGTTAAAAGTCTGTTACAGAAAAAGGGTTAAGATATCTTGGATTTTTACAACTAAGAGCTCGTTGACGCTCGTTATATGAAACAAAGCCCTCCAACTTGGACTGTTAGAATAAATAGATTATTCATGGATATACTAACCAGTGTCCAGGCAGATGCCCATAGTAAGCTGTTCAAAGGCTGACACGATCCTTCTACGGCCATTTACTCACATGCTTCCGGCAGACAAACTCATCCCCGCGTCAACACATACAACGTTCCGAAGAGTTACAATGTACAGCTTCACGAAAACTTTCACATTAGACAAGAATGTTTCTTCGTGCCACGTGTTGTCACTCGATGACTTTTGCAATCGACTTTTTGGTAGGCCGGTAATCAGAAGTGGCTTCGACGAATGTGCACTGGTTTGTTTCTTCGGATTCAACGTTTATCCATGGGACTTAATTTTCTCCCCTACAAAGCGACGTCCTAATGACGGAGGCGTCGCTTCCCGCGCGTTGATCCGCGTTTGATCTATGCGGCGTAGCTTCTTTAACAGGCACTTGAGAACGAAAGCGAGTAAGACTAGTGTCCACATCGACGTTGTTTGGAGCTTCGTGAAATTTACCCGACGAGTCCACTGCAGGTAATTGCAGTTAATGTATAATAATTTCAAATGTCACATTTTACGCACTACGTTCGAACGACAACTGTGTGGATTAATGAGCATTCTGAAAGCAATGAGTTATTATTAGTTCTTCAAGATGTACGATCTTGAAAGAGTGTTTTTCCAACATTTACTTTCTGGTCACAAGTCCTTATTTTCTATACTTGCGACTACTTCAATATTCTATCGAGTGTATAATATAACATTGCATCTTTGCCTTGGCAAGAAGTTACTTTTGAAGTGGATAATTTTGATAGCTTTTGTTCAGTGCGAAATTAGCAGGAATGTATTTTAGAGTTGTTGAGAAAGAAAAAACTATCCTTGGCATGTTCATAATTATCTATTCGAAAAATTCAAAACGAAGGAAATAAATTTGTAAAAGCGCTTTTCGCAACGGAATAAAGAAAAGTAACGAGTAACTTGAACGAGCAATAAGTCATGTGCAAGTCATTCTTCTCTTTCTGGAATGCATTTTTATAAAAAATTTTCTAAAATTCCCATGTGTTTAAGGAAGGTAGAGGGCATCGGCGACAAGATCTATGCGTTTTAAGAGCTTGTAACTTAAGCTGATTCAGGATAAATATGTAACGTTACTCAATTCGGAGAACGTTTCAACAGCAACGAGAGATCGAGCCGATCCCTCGAAACGACAACGCGGAAGATCGAAGGATTTTCGAAAGACTTTCGTGAAACTTTCAATTAACGATCGATCTCTCCCGGTAAGTGCGACTCACGGTGGCTGAGTGATCGATGAGTAAATCCTCACGCTTCCCACGTTCCTATCGAGTGGAGTAACTCGCCACCATCCGAGCCACCGATCGAGCACGAGAACACTTGGTAGGAACTTGAAGAAGAGGAATGGTGCACCCCCGAACTTTCGTCCCTCGCGTTCACCCGGAAGTGCCGGCGCAAAGTGTCGCGTGCGGCAACGTAAACGGCTCTGAGTCACGACGTTTCCACGGCGGAGCTTTTACGACGAGCTTTCTCCGCACGACAATGCCATAATGATTTGTCGGGAACGAATGGAGGTCGTGGTAAGAACCAGATCGTCATGGATACGGTCGCGCAAGCGCCCATTCTTTTATACGTTTTGTGCATGTATAACTTTACATACAGTCGCGATAATGGACAGTTGTACCAGAGTGTGCATGTGTGTGTGTGTATGTATGTAATCGTGTGTGCATGTGAAATCATGTGCGTGTGACATGTGAGGGGTTGTAACGTGGGGGTTCAATGTCAAGTTCTTTCCGACGCGACTGTTCTCGAACGGAGGGCTTCGATGAGCGGGATGGTCAGGTGAGAGTGACATTATGAAATGCGAGTTACAGACTCGAGAGTGCCCGGCAAACTTTTTTATAAACAAAAAGTATATATATGTATGTGATTATATACATATAAAACATGCCTGTATGTCTTTTTTCTCTCGTATAATCTCTGTTCGCATATATAGGAAAAATAATGCGAAGAATTGCAAAATAATTAATAAGAATACATAATAAAGATACTTTTTTCTTATAAAAAGCTAAGTTTGAGGAAATGAGAAAAAATTGCCCATCGTACAAAATACGATTATATATATAGAATATTGTATTTAATTGCAATTTTATTTTTTGCAAAAGAAAAGCAATGCCTAAGATTATTTCTCCATTTCTTAATTATTTTTTTTATTATTTTTCTTTATTAGTATAATTATATATTATTATACTTAATTATATTCTTATGTATTTATTATTACTTTCTTCTTAATTATTCTTATTATTTTTCTTGTATAAACGGACAAGGATACGAGAAAGAAATCACGTATAGACATATTTTATACATATTTGTACATTATAATTATACATATTAATATATTTTGTATATGAAAAAAATTTTGTACCAGGTAATGATATAATTTATCTCTCGTCGAAATACAATGTAATGTAAATATAAAATACGAAACTCGATAGAAAATTGTATATACGAATCAAGCGAATAAAAACCGAAGTGAAGGAAAGAGCAAAGTTTTCATCAATTTTCTACTTTTACTCGTATGAATTTACGTCCATTGTCGCCGTATTCTTCATCAAATAACTTAGATCGAATTAATATCAAATATTTAGCGGCGCCCTAAGTAGAATAATTATGAAAGTTCACTTATTGTTAGTCGAATATGAATCACTTGCACCTTCCGACGGCAGTCTATACCTACCCAGGCAGAACAAAATGTCGAAATGGTTCCAAAATGATTATTCGATGTCACTTTACCGCCACTTCAACGTTACTTCGACAACTTTCATCGCGACTCCTCGTTCCGCTTAGGTGTAAGACTTTAATCGAAAAATAATCACGTTTTTCTTAGTAAAATTGCCAATGCGCATTTATATTTTCGTGGGATATCTTAGGGGTTGCGACAGCTGCGCGCAGCAATACTACTTTAACGTAGGAATAAGAATGAGGACGTGTCGAGCATTTAACACACGAGGTTAATATGAAATTTATTACTCCCGGTTCACAATCGATAGAGAAGCACACGTGAGAACCATAACAAGACGGTATATATTTATGACAAAACCGGCTTAAAAATGTCTAAATTCTGTCTAAATGCCTCCATTTGTGGATTATCTAAACCCAAATGCAAGTTACAATGTCATACTTGAATCTTTTGGTTCAAATTGTGTTTTTATAAACTTTATCTTGTTACAAAAATGTCTTGTCATTCTACAAAAACGTCAATTTTGTTGGCTTTACTAAACTTTGTATTTTATCACTTTCTCAGCCGGCGAGTCTAGCGCATGGCCTAGAACTGCAAGCCGCAATTTACAAAAATCTGTAGCTAGGCTGTTGCAGAATTCCAGCATCAAAATAGGAATAAAAATTAAAAAATTGCTTTATAGTACATCATGCTTGTAACCATTTGTAAATACGATTGTCATAGTCATCTGTCTTTCTATAAATACAAAATGACGTAAAATTACGTCAACTACAACCATCTACGGATTTTAAAATAACGTAAAATTACGTCAGTCGCAACTAGCTATAGATCTTGAAATGACGTAAAATTATGCCAACGGCTGCGAATGTGTTGATATACATATAATTATTTATGGTATCATATAATGGATCTTCAATTAGCTTAACTTTTCATGCATAGTATAATTTCAGTTTGAACTATAGAGTTAAGGATACACGGAGAGAATTTTCACTTAAAATTTATCCTGAAAATCATGTCATCGTGGGACAATTTGTCATTTTGGACAATGTTATGAGAACTTTTGGAAATTTTACCATACATTTTACTAGTAAAACGTGTACTAACAATAAGTATAATTACTAATAAAATGTATGGTAAGATTTCCAAAAACTCTCATAATGTTCTTTAAAATACCATGTTGTCCCACGATTACATGATTTTCAGGGTAAGTTTTAAGAGAAAATTCTCTCCGAGTATAAACTCGCGTTTCTAGTATGAATTTTAAAACTTGTTCTTGATCTGTTCTTCAACTTTTTAGCTCAATAGATAAGGAAAGAAAGAAGAACCTAAATAATACATGCTACTACAATGTGATTATATTATTGAACAATATATGAATTAATTATGGGAAATAAAATTAAACTCTAATTAAAAAAATTTTTTTTAATAAAGAATATAGAAAAATTTGCAATTCTATTATATTTTTAATTTCAATTTATTGTAATTGGACTTTTGCCATAAATATATCAATACATTTGCAAAAGTGTATTCTTTTTCTCTTTTCAAAAAGGACCGTATCATCTTTTTCATGTAAATTAAATCTTTTCCGTTATTTTGCTAATGAAAATAAAATAAGTTCACACAAATTGAATAATTTATCAAGTATTTCGTATACTATATTAGACACATGTTTAAAACTAATTTTTATGTCAATATTGTAAGAAACGTGACACCAGTATACAGCTTCAATGTTTTAATTATTCAAACATTGTAAATTTTAATTTCAATAATTTCAGCTCTTATTTTTATTATATGCATATTTCTTCCTGTTTCTTCCAATTTCTTGGCTTTCATAAAACTTGATTATCTCGATACGCAAATTGATAATAGAGAAAAGTCCTCTATTATGAGATAAGTTTAGAAACCTGCTATCATATTAGAGTATGAGATAGCAGGTTTTCAACATCCAATTTTCCACTAAACAGACCCGCTCCAAGGGCAATAAATTCATGGTAGAATCAACTGACGATGCCTATTAATTTAACGGAAACCTCGCTATATTAGGTTTCTATCTCATAACAGGGGACTTTCCTCTACAATAAAGAACGAGAAAAAGTTATTAATATTTACCGAGATACTTATATTTAGGCAGAAATGTCTCCTGGACATGTCGTCCAGTACGCAGTAAATCCCAATCGATACGTAAAATAGCATATTCTATCTACGATATGCATTATGTACTTCCCGTAGATATCTTAATTTGAAAATCTTTTATTAACGAATGAATGTCATTGTAATATCGACGAGCGTTTTTGTAACAAGGTATAATAATAGTTTACTTTACTCTCTTGAACATCCCTACTTACGGATTGCGTCACGATATTTGTTGTGTAACATTTATATTTTTTGCGCCCGAGAATATTTTTACATTGCATACCGAAGTATATTTTTTATACCTTGATAGAAACTTAGTAGAAGTTTTAGAACCAATTATCTTTATGCTGATGACTGTAACGGCGGAAGTAATATAATTTGTGAAAATTTTACGGTTTTTACACTTAATACGTGTACGTGCTCATAAGTCGATTTTCAAACGGCAATATTCATAAGCCTGCTTATCGGCCTAACAAGGCCGATTTATTATGTAAAACTGTTCCCAGTAACAATTGCATTCTTTTTAAATTGCGAGTCACTCCGCGGGCCGTTACCTAATGTAACATTTTCCCGGGTGCACTCCAACATAATCAAAACATAAATATTAATTATTCGATAGGTATATAAGTGTCACTTTCAAGGTATCACTTTAGTACGAAGTTCGCAAGGCGCTGGCAATGTAAGACCTATCGACTTGCTATGAATATTTAACGGATGCCTGTTATCAGTCCTGTTTCAAGAAATTATATGCTTGTATAAAGCTATCTAACCCACTGTACTATATCCGACTGAAAGAAGAAACGTACGTCGATTTAATTGGAATTTAACGAGAAACTGATGGCTCATAATAACATACGGCTATTTATTATAGAATAAACGTGGCAATTTCTAAAAAGTCACGGATCCGTATTTCGTATTTATTTTGCATATCATTCACGTAAGCTTAACAGTTTGCTACGTATTTACCCCCATCCCTTTACGTGACAAATGTACTTATGGCAAAAAGATCAATTCAAGCAACGCTTCGTACGTTAGATGAGTTTCTTTCTGTTTTACTTTTTTACCTTTTTAATTACATTTCCTAAATCAGACATTTTTTTGCGATATAACGACTTTTAGATCAGGACTTTCGTATTTTGTTAACGTCCAATCGATGCAGATCTCGGTTTAACTTTCTCTTTACCTTTTTCTAGTTCTAAGGCCCGGTTTCACCTAGTTCAATCCACATGCATGAAATTCCGTGATAGAGCTTTCGCGAGGATCAATCTTGGCTGTGAAAGTGAAAAGGAAGCTAGATCTTTGCAACTACAGAGCAGCATTCTTTACTAAACAATTTAAGTCTTTGGCAGTTGAAATGATCATAAAAGTTGAATAAACTCTGAACTTCGGTGTACAACTGAAGGAAACGGATTTGTGTTTTAGTTGTTCACGACCATGGGGTCGAAGGTTAGAAAGAAAAAGCAAGAACCTTTGATATACACAGAACGCATAACACGGACCTTAGCTGTGAGAACGAACCGTGACTCTTACACGCCCTTGAAAAGAAACGAAATCAGAAAGACTTCTGATATTCCCGTCCGATCTATCCTTTAGGCTAGATTGGCTTATAGAGCCGTCAAAGATGAAAACAGTCTGAGGTCGGTGGGTGCCATGTAACCAACAGAAATCTTGAAAGCTCACCAACACTCAACATAGACCGGTATTCATGGTCAGATCTTATATTCGAGACTGTCTTAAGATCAACTTTCGATACTCCGTAGACAATGAAATGTTCTGTACAGCATCTTTGGATAAATTCAAGACGATCTTGAATGTAAGATCTGATTCTGGATACCGGACTATGTGTAAAATCAGTGGTGGCGACGCAAGAAGTAGGGCGGGTGCCCTCTCGTCTCTGTAAGAAATCGCACTCGATTCAATATTTTGTGTATTATTCGGCGCTTTCGACTTAGAAGCTGCAGCCAACACATTGTACTCGAAGCGACGAGAGACTCAATGCGACCATACGAGATGTATCCGAATACGAACATCGTTTAAAGAAACAATTATCGTCCGTTGTTATCGCAATGGGGAAGTAATTTCAAGTTAGCTAGAGCTTTTTCATTTTTGCATGTACAGATTTCATGTGTGAATCGCGCGAGATATCTGTCTTGCCGGTTAAACGCCCATGCTTGTCTCTTTCGAAAGTACAAGGTTGGAAGGAGACAACGAATTAAGCGAAGCTTAAAGTTACACAACGTTGGTGAAACCGGGCCTTAGAGTTGGGAAAAAGATGGGAAATTAAATTAAACCGGAATTAAAATCAAACTATACCGGTAGGACACAAGTCAATATTCTCATAATTAATTTGTCAAACATACGGAACTATTTAATCACGCATACCTTTCTATCAGAAATAAATTATAAGCGATTCTGTTGCACGAGGAAAAGTTATTTCTTCCTCGTTTGCCTTTAAATAGTTTTCGCCTAGGGTTTATAGTTTCACAAACATCGGCTAACTGCTAACCGTGCAGAGTTGACTCCCTATTTTTTTCTATATTATTAGCTAAAAAAAGACAGAGAATCGATTAACCTCCAGCAAGCAGTTAATCGACGCGCGTGAAACCGACCCTTCAAGGTGTTTGATCTTTTTAAAAATGTCGCTATAAATTATTTTGTTGAATGAAACGGGCTCATTTATTAAATATAATATGAATTACTTTGCCAGCTAACATACAGCCGGTTATGTCTCACGGCTTCTTGCATAATTCCATATCTTGTCAAAGTAGAAGACATGGCCATCCTTGTTCAACATTCATATCTATATTTCACAACGACCGTTTTCTCGCATGCATTCGTTCAATCGAACTAATAATGATTGACAAATATTTCTCGATATGTCACGTGTAATTTCTCATATCATTTCAATTTTTTAAATGGAAAACCCCGCCGGAAATAATTCTACAAAATTCTACAAAACTATTTAAATATAACTGCCAGAATCTAAGAAATTCTACGTAAATTAAAAATTTGTTATAAAAATCAACATGAAAATGCTAGAATTGGAACACTTTTGTTCACATTTTTGTAATATTCTACAAGTAAGCAGATGTTTTAATTCTTTGAGATTTTGTTGCTTCTCAAATTTTTACAACTAGTAAAGTGTTGTACTAATTTTTACAAAATTGTACACTTTCATGAAATACTACTTGCAATAATTTCTTCATTTGAGAACATTGTAACTTGTGGTACTATTTCGTAGATATTTTTACAAAAAAAGCTGTTTCAACGAAGATATAAAAATTTCTACAAATTTCCGTTTCAAGTCAATTTTTGTAGTTATTTCTAGAAATGTTTTCCGCTAGGAAATTTCTGTTTCTACACGTATGTACTTAATGGCTTTTATAATCGTGCTTTTTAATCTCGAAAAAAATGTACTTATCGTTAAGTTTCCACGACACCCCGGTACAAACCTTTTCACGCATGAACATGAATAAATATATACAATTATATAAAAATATGAATCTATATGAAAAAATTTTTGCAACTTGCCTACAACTTTGCAAAGAGAAACTTAATTCATCATCCTTGATCCATATTCTTGACAAAGTATTACACAATATGATGCAATTACATTTAAATTGATAAAATTACAGTAAATGATGAAATTCTGTTAATTTATTAGACAAAAATCTAACGAGTTCTGAAATCATACCTGAGAGAAGCCTGAGGGCTATCACGGTCCGGTTTGATCCTCGAACGCGATACGTCCTTTGTGGACTTGAACTACGTAGCCAATGTCCACTAAGCAGATAACGCAGATGTGCACGTTTTGGTTGTGTTCCGTGCTGTATGCATGAAATGTCAATAAAAATGGAGTTATTGATTTTTCGTTATGTGAGCGAACAGACCAACTTGAAGACCGCCGAGAAAAATTCGGCGGGAGTGATGGAGGGCCTCTACAAGTTGGTCTGTGTTTATCGAATAAAAATTTAATTCAAATCTAAAATAAAGGCATCGATTCATTTATAACTAGAAAATACAAACGTTATAATAAAATATATAGATAACCAAGTTTATCGGAAACAATCTACTACAAATTTTGTTGGCAAGAGGAGCACAACCCCAGCTTGTCAGCAAATTTTTATATTCTGCAATCACACATATAATTTATATGTCAGCAACAAAAGAATGTGTATCGCCTGTAGGTGTAGCGAAATAGTTCCAAAAATGAAAATGAGCGTAGGGCGTTGGAATTTGGAATCAGCCGAGCGAAAACGGTATCGTATCAAGTAAAACGCCCGCGTGGCCGCTCTCAAGTTTCTCCCTATGGTTCTATGGTGCGCGGAGCACAGTATAACCTGTACGCGCATCGTGCATACGCGCCATAGACTTCTATAGACGGACCCTTTTACGAGGGGTAACTGATAATCGCGGTAAAGGCCTTCACACATAAAATTCCGTAAGGACGTAAAACGTAAGCATAAGAAAATCGACCAATCACAGTCGAGAACGTAAGGCAATGACGCAAGCAGTAGCAAATCCAACCTGTTGATTTTCTTACGCTTACGTTTTACGTCCTTACGGAATTTTATGTGTGAAGGCCTTAAGGGGATCACTCGTCTGACTTCGACTCTTTCCGGTGAGATTCGGTAATATTCGGTTCACATTTCCAATACGTGTGCAC